CCGGACGAATGACGGAAATTCGTCCAGCGCTGTGCCCCGACTACTCTAGTCCATTAAGAAGTTCAAATACCCTGTAATAAACTGATCACCCCTAACCGGAGTCGCATTTTTCCAATTTTAAGGTCCGTGATCACTCAACCGTGACGAAATTTTTTTTGACATAAACTAGACCTCAACTACCTTGTATGACCCAAATATGACATCTCTACCTTTTCACCATTCTCGAGATATAACGTAAAATCACTGGAGCGTGACTGAGGTACTGGAGAAAAAAAATTTCTTCTAAAATGGCTTCAAATAATTTTTCTAAACATGCCCATGCCTTTACTTTCTTAATAAGTCCCTACAGAGCCTGCAATAAGCCAAAATCACTAAAGCGTGACTGGGGAGTAGGAGAAAAAAATTTCTTAAAAAAAGCGTTAAACCAATTTTCCCAACATACCTATCTATTTTATTTCCTCGATAGCTTCATTTTTAGGTGCGCAACCTTCTTACGCCACTGGAGGGCGATTGGGAGGGGGAATCCCAAATTCAGGTGGTGAAATATTCTATATATTAGTCCCTTTGAGATTTAAGCATCACTTTGCCCAAAAACCAATTCCAAGTGCTCCTAATAGCCCAAAAATCATATTACCTAAGTGGGCGTGGCTTTCCACACGTTTTCTCACCACTGGGGGGGTGGTGGCACTGCCCCCACCCCAATTATACTTGAAAAATTCCCAATACTCGGGCAAACGCTTCTTGGCCCCGGAAACGGGCTAAACGGCCTTAAACCCAAAATCACATAGCGTGACTTGATCGACAGCTCGATGTCTTGCAACCTCTGAAGGCTGCCACTAAAACCCCCGTTTTGGCCCACTTCTTTTGGCCCGTTCCTCTGAAAAATTTCTGGGTTCATTTGGCAATAGTCCCACGTACATGCCAAGTTTCGTCCCGATTGGCCCAACAGTTTCCCGGGAAAGCCAGAGGTTGGGGTCTACTCTAATTAACTTTGTCCTGGCTACTGGCTTACGCGCAAAGGCTTCTGCTCTATACTGTGCATACGCACATTCAGTGCTCTCAGGGTTGCCTAACCATCCAGGGGAGGTCGCTGCGCTACCCGCGAGGGGAATGTATAGAAATATTTTTAGTAAATTAGGAAGCAGATGTTTGTTTGCAGTTTGTTGAAGGACCCGGGTCGTTGCGCCGGACGAATGACGAAAATTCGTCCGGCGCTCTGCCCCCGACACCTCTAGTCCATTGAGAAGTACAAATACCCTGTAATAAACTGATCACCCCTAACCGGAGTCGAATTTTTTCCAATTTTAAGGTCCCGTGTTCACTCAACCGTGACGAAATTTTTTTGACACAAACTAACCTCAACTACCTTGTATGACCAAATATGACATCTCTACCTTTCACCATTCTCGAGATATAACGTAAAATCACTGGGAGCGTGACTGAGGTACTGGAGAAAAAAAATTCTTCTAAAATGGCTTCAAATAATTTTTCTAAACATGCCCATGCCTTTACTTTCTTAATAAGTCCCTTCAGAAGCCTGCAATAAGCCAAAATCACTAAAGCGTGACTGGGGAGTAGGAGAAAAAAAATTTCTTGAAAAAAGCGTTAAACTAAATTTTTCCCAACATACCTATCTATTTTATTTCTCGATAGCTTCATTTTTAGGTGCGCAACCTTTTACGCCACTGGAGGGCGATTGGGAGGGGGAATCCCAAATTCAGGTGGTGAAATATTCTATATATTAGTCCCTTTGAGATTTAAGCATCACTTTGCCAAAAACCAATTCCAAGTGCTCCTAATAGCCCAAAAACCATATTACCTAAGTGGGCGTGGCTTTCCACACGTTTTCTCACCACTGGGGGGGTGGTGGCACTGCCCCACCCCCAATTATACTTGGAAAAATTCCCATACTCGGGCAAACGCTTCTTGGCCCCGGAAACGGAGCTAACGGCCTCTAAACCCCAAATCACATAGCGTGACTTGATTGACAGCTCGATGTCTTGCAACCTCCGAAGTGCCACTAAAACCCCCGTTTTGGCCCACTTCTTTTGGCCCGTTCCTTCTGAAAAATTTTCTGGGTTCATTTGGCAATAGTCCCCACGTACATGCCAAGTTTCGTCCCGATTGGCCCAACAGTTTCCCGGGAAAGCCAGAATGTTGGGGTCTACTCGAAGTAACTTTGTCCTGGCTACTGGCTTACGCGCAAAGGCTTCTGATCTATACTGTGCATACGCACTTTCAGTGCTCTCGGGTTGCCTAACCATCCAGGGGAAGGTCGCTACGCTACCCGCGAGGGAAATGTAAGGAAAAGATTTGAGTATAAAAAGCGGATGTTATATAATGAATTTGATGGTTGCACCGGGGTCGTTGCGCCGGACGAATGGCGGAAATTCGTCCGGCGCACTGCCCCCAGCCACTTTAGTCCATTAAGTAGTTTAAATAATACGTCATAAACTGATCACTCTTAATGGAAATCGATTTCTATCAATTTTAGGGTCCGTGTTCACTCAACCGTGACGAAATTTTTTTGTCATTATCTTCACTTTATATACCTTGTATGGCCCAAATATTACATCCCCATCTATTACCATTCTCGAGAAAAGACCTAAAATCACTGGAGCGTGACTGACATGTGGGAGAAAAAAAATTCTACCTAAACTGATTCGAATGATTTTTCCGATCATGCCCATGCCTTCAGATTCTTGATAAGACCTCTCTGAAGCCGGCTAAAGGCCAAAATCACTAGACCGTGACGGAGGCATGGGACGAAAAAAATTCCTCGAAAAAACTATTAAACTAATTTTTCTCAACCTACCTATGTATTTTTTTCTCTCAATATCTCAAATCTTAAGCGCAACATTCCGAACTCACTGGACCGTTACGGGGAAGGGGAATCCCCAAAGTTCGGGTGGTAATATATTCTATTAATTAGTCCCTTCGATATTTATGCATCACTTTGCCCAAAAACCGATTCCAAGTGCTCCTAATCGCCCCAAAACCATATTACCTAAGTGGGCGTGGCTTTTCACACGTTTTCTCACCACTGGGGGGTGGTGGCAGTGCCCCACCCCAATAGTTCTTGTATAAATTCCAATACTCGGGCAAACGCTTTCTGGCCCCGGAAACGAAGCTAAACGGCCTCTAAACACCAAAATCACTGTAGCGTGACTTGATTGACAGCTGATTAACCAATAAACAGCCTTGAGCCCTAAAAGCCCGTTTTGGCCCTTTTCCTCTGGCCCGATCGTTCCCAAAATTTTCTGCGTTATACGACACTGTCCCCGACCTACATGCCAAATTTTGTCCCAATCGGCCCGCCAGTTTTTCTCGAAATGGTAACCCGTAGGTCCTTAGCAAATATACCTTATACTAGTCACTTTCGTGCAACGAATTCTGATCCATACTGTGCTATAGCACTAAACTGCTATCAACTTGCCTTACCATCCAGGGGAAGGTCGCTACGCTACCCGCGAGGGGAAATGTATGGAAATATTTTTAGTAAATTAAGAAGCATATGTTTGTTTGAAGTTTGTTGGAGGGCCCACGTCGTTGCGCCGGACGAATGGCGGAAATTCGTCCGGCGCTGTGCCCCCGACCCCTCTAGTCCATTAAGAAGTTCAAATACCCTGTAATAAACTGATCACCCCTAACGGGAGTCAAATTTTTCCAATTTTAAGGTCCGTGATCACTCAACCGTGACGAATTTTTTTTGACATAAACTAGACCTCAACTACCTTGTATGACCCGAATATGGCATCTCTACCTTCTACCATTCTCGAGATATAACGTAAAATCACTGGAGCGTGACTGAGGAGATGGAGAAATAAAATTTCTTACAAAATAGATTCAAATAATTTTTCTAAACATGCCCATGCCTTTACTTTCTCAACAGGTCCTTTCAGAGGCCTGCAATAAGCCAAAATCACTAGACCATGACTGGGGAGTGAGAGAAAAAAAATTTCTCGAAAAAAGCATTAAACTAAATTTTCCCAACATGCCTATCTATTTTATTTCTCGATAGCTTCGTTTTTAGGTGCGCAACCTTCTTATGCCACTGGAGGGCGATTGGGAGGGGGAAGTCCCACAGTTCAGGTGGTGAAATATTCTATATATTAGTCCCTTTGAGATTTAAGCATCACTTTGCCCAAAAACCAATTCCAAGTGCTCCTAATAGCCCCAAAACGATATTACCTAAGTGGGCGTGGCTTTCCACACGTTTTCTCACCTCTGGGGGGCGGTGGCACTGCCCCCGCCCCCAATTATACTTGGAAAAATTCCCAATACTCGGGCAAACGCTTTCCGACCCCGGAAACTGAGCTAAACGGCCTCTAAACCCCAAACTCACTCTCGCGTGACTTGACGGACAGCCGATTGACCAATCAGCAGCTTCGGGCCACTAAAATCCCGTTTTGGCCCACTTCCTTTGGCCCGATCGCTCCCAAAAATTTTCTGTGTTCGTTTGGTAACTAGCCCCCGCTACTTGCAAAGTTTCGTCCGGATCGGCCCTGTGGTTCTTCAGATAATAGTGATTCACGGTCGCTTAGAGTAGTTAGCTTTAGCTATTGACTTTCGTGCAACGAAATTTGATTCTATACTGTGCATACGCACTTTCAGTGCTCTCCGGTTGCCTAACCATCAAGCAACCGATCATAGGCAAATATATTTTTATTTGCTAGAACATATTTTAGACTAGGTACTAGGTAGTATCTATGAGTAAGTAAACTTTCTTGGAGCTATATCGGTCTCACGTATGAAGTTCGACGGTGTGGGCATGCAAAACGTTAGCAAACTGGTATTGTTTGCATTACACCATTTATTTACTGTGAACGAGCTCGGTAACGCAAATTACTCGTCCATTAATTAAACAAAGCTCAAGATTTCACGTGTAATACAATCTTCTGTTCCATGCATAGACGTCACAGTAGCAGCCAAACTTTTTTAGCACCATTTCCAACTCTGAAATCCACAAAAAAGAAAGCACTTGAAGATAATTGGAGAATATAAAAATGACAATGAATGCACCTCGTGCAAGTTATTCTTTTCAGAAAGGTTTCAGCTTGATGACAAAATAGTGAACAAATAGCACGAGAATAATACTTAAACAGTTCAAGCTTATGAAACTGATGAATAATTATAAAACGTTAAGGGATGCAGCCACTTTTCCTTAATTGATCATGTCATACGGTCTCAAATCACCATTTCCCTTCAAAACACGACGGATTCCACGCGTTTGCCTGTTTAGTCAGATCAATTCTCTATCAGTATGGCCTGCAGTCGACAAGACTCTTTCTCAGGAAGTTTTGGTTGATGAAACTGGTAGATATATAGGATGCATATGGTCTAATTAACTAATATCCCTACAGATATTCAAGGCGAAGCTGTTACAAATTAGGATAGCGCATATTGATATCACGTCACCATGTGAGTGGATCAATGTTAGTAGCATAGAATCACAGTCCAAAGCACTGTTTATTACAGAGTTATCGTAAACATATTCAACGTTGATAAAATGGAATTAGGTGTAGTTGATTTTTGCAAGTGTAATATAAATTGCTCTCAGCCTATACCTGGAGATTTGAAGAACGTCGGCGACGAAATTTATGAAGCATTTACATCGATTGGATTTGTGTATTTGAAGAATACTGGGATATCAGAGTTCGTATGCTTCTTGTTAAATGTTTATATTCTTTTCAAAATTAAACGCATATTGCCAATGTTTATAATTAAACTTGAGTAATTTTGTGATACGAGTTGGCTGAGGCAACTCAGCAATACAGTTCAAATTGCAAAGTTGCGGCATGCAAATGCGCGCAGGTCAATATTTAAATAAGTTATAGAAACAATGTATTATGATAGGTACAAAAATTCAGCTCGAAGAGACGTGTATGTAATAATCGCAACACAATCTCAATACTAAACACATGGATTACAGGAATCTACAGGCAATATTTTATAATCAGCACATTACCCATTGTCCTATTTCATTTGTGAATAATTTCAAATTTCAGTGATGAAGCGGCGAAAGTACAGAAAATATCGAAGGATTTTTTTGATCTTGATGATAATATAAAACTTAAATACGCAATCAACGAAAATTTATTTGGATATGTTGCACCAGGAGTAGAGAAGTATACATGCATGTCTTCAATTGGCCACGTTTAGTTATTCTAGTGCTGAGGAAACAATTCAGTAGCCTAATAAGGCATACGATTAATTTTGAGTGAAGTATAAGATTGACTTCGAAAAAGTTAGCGAAATTTGATAACAAACAAATCATTAGAAGGTCGTCCTGCGTTGTTTGTTAATGACATTATTGTAGTAATAAAATACGTACAAAGATCGGTATGTTTTCGGATTCGTTCAAACATCTATTATTTATAAAAAAAAAATTAATTTGAGCTGGTATTTTCAGCTCTAGTGCTTCTATAGAAAAAAGTTTTATAGAAAATGTTGTACATGAAGCTGGCTCTTCATCTGTAATTCATATTTAGTCATTGGATAGCTAACAAAATTTGTGATAGAGGTATCATATCTAAACGAATTTCACATTGAAACTGGACGTTATGTACAGTGCTAATTTTGTTACGGAACGTTACGGAATGTTTGTTTGTTTGCATATGTAGCAATGATCCAACCAAGCCTTCTTACGGAACGTTACGGAATGTTCGTTTGTTTGCATATGTAGCAATGATCCAACCAAGCCCGGCGAATACAAAGAATCATTCGATGTTTCCAGCCAAGGTCTTGTTTCACCGAATTCAAGATGGCCAGACGGAGAGCTCCCTGGATTTTCTGACACTGTTAAAAACTTTACAGCAAACCTTAGAAAATTGGCATTTAGAATTATACAGGCGCTATCGATCGGTATGAAAGTGAAGGTTTGTTCTTATTTTCCTTACTCAGAAAATGGCATCGGTGACGAGTGGAGTGACGACATACCTCATTGTCTATAAATTACAAGCTCCCCTTTATATTTTCTTTTTTAGGATGCGACGTATCTTCAGAGATGTCATTCCAGACTCAATGATACTAAAAATATAACGACATTAAGATCTTTGTACTACCCTAAGATACCACACAACTATGTGGTGAAAGAAGGGGAAATGAGATTGGGGGAACACACGGATTTTGGATCTTTCACAATATTATTTCAAGATTTTATCGGCGGTCTACAGGTGATAATTTTTTTACTCACAAGTTTTATTTGCTACGCAGATTTCGTGATTCCTCAAACTTCGAATAAATTGTGTATAACTGAGAAAACCCTTATTCACATGTGCATTATGGAATTCCTTACCACCCTTTGTGGTCTTTTTTTTTATTGGACAACACTGAATATTTATTTGAAGGTTAGACGACAAGATGGAACATTTACTGAAGCTAGACCTATCCCAGGTACTGCCCTGGTAAATATTGGAGATTGTTTACAATTTTGGACAAGAGGAAGACTGAAGTCTACGGTAAGGACTGAATCATCGAAATGATACAGTGGCGGCGCGTCAATAGGGCCAACCGGGGCAATGCCCGGTTGTTTTTTCGATATAATCTACACTAGCCATATTCTCTCGACATGGTTCATTTTTCGCTCGCAAAGCCTTCGCCGAACGTCCACGGGGCGACGCCGATTTTTCCCCGGTTGCTCATTGTATATCGCATTCTCTCTTTTATCTTCCACTCGCCGCGTTTGTCTCGTTTGTTTTCTGTTTCTTTTACTAAATCATCGGGGCCGATCGGGGCTAGCCCCAAATTATGACGACACAATGCCGACGTTTCTTACAACAACGTGTTGACATATTCACCGCATTCCTTCTCGTTCATTGGTTGCTTGAAGAGTTGATAGTTTCCTCGCCTTCGTTTTTGTCGCTTGTTTCGCTATTTGAATCAGTTAGAGACCTTTAGTCCATTTGCTTTCGATTTTCCACCATTCCTTTTGAGCTCCTCAACTTCTTTTCGGCTTCGCATTTCTTAGCCTTAGACCTCATAATGAATAAGGTTGATGCACTACTTCGCACTCCTTTTCGCAGCTGCCGCTGGAACAAAAATTAGAGGTACAACGTCTTGGCCTTATCAACCAAAAAATTATTCACTGGAACAATCCCCATGACGGAGGAAAGCGTCGGCGTACATTCTGCGCAGAAACTTGGGTATAAAAAACACGAATTGTTGTGTTACAGCGAGGACAAAAATGCACTTTTTTGTTTTTATTGCCTACTTTTTGCTACCGCCCGTGACTCACGTTGGTGTAATTTGGTTTTAGAGATCTTAAACATCTTTCCGAGCGTGCCAGGGATCATCAATCTTCTATGGAGCATCTGGACAATGCAGTAAAATACCGAACATTCGGAAATGTTGATATTGCAGCACAGTTGGATGAAGGACGCGCGGTTTCTATTCGTCGGCACAACCAAAACGTCGAGAAAAACCGCGATGTTCGATTGATAGATGTTTTGAAGTTCATTGGTTGTCACGAGCTGTCCCACCGTGGGCACGATGAACGGGCTGGCTCTTCTAATAGAGGGGTATTTTTGGATATGGTGGAATACACCGCATCCCTAGATACAGTATTGAGAGATCATCTTGATGCCGCAACTGTTTCGAAAGGGACATCTAAGGATATCCAAAATGATTTGCTCGACTCAATGTATAAAATTTATTTACAACATTTGGCTCTGAAAATTGAGAATTGCCAGTTCCTTTCGATTCAGTCTGACAAGACAACTGACATCATGTGCGTTTCCCAACTGGCTGTGATTTTTTGGTTTGTGAAAGATGGTAAACCTACCGAGAGATTTCACAGCTTTGTACCAATCGTTGATCGCACGGCTTGCGAGATATCGGCTGTACTGAAAGAAGTGTTACAGCCTTACAACGCGAAGTCAAAATTGATAGCTCAAACTTATGACGGCGCGGCAGTCATGAGGGGGTCGAAACATAGTGTTCAAGTTTATATAAAAGAAGATTTTTTACTCATGCGCATTTTTTACATTGGTATGCACACCAATTTAACCTCGTTATTAAAAATATGTGTCTTGATACCCCTCTCGTCCGTATATTTTTTGCAAATGTTTCGGGGTTTTCTTCATTTTTTTCCGTTTCGCCGAAGCGCTCTGACCTCCTTCGCCAGATATGTAGCCGTCGTCTCCCAGCTTGTGCACCAACACGTTAGAACTTCCAATCACGCGTGGTGCAGGGCGTGTCCGAAATTAGGTCTGAGCTCATTGAGTGTTTCAATGGCATTCAGAGCTCTCCGGTTTGGGATGAACGCTCTGTGAGGGAGGCGGCAGGTCTAAAGCGTCTGCTAGAAGATGGTGAGTTTTCATTTTTTCTCGCTTTTTTCTCCACAATATTCTATCACGTGGATGTATTATACGGCGCATTGCAGTCAGGGCTAATGGATGGAGCGTCTGTGCAGTCGTGTATTTCAGACTTCTGCGATGCTGTATCTCGTATCCGGGAAACAATAAAATACGACGACACATGGATGCTTCTTTTACGCCGCGGGCAAACAACGCAGCGTTTGATTTTGTCTGCAAAGGAATGCTGTGACATTCTGGTGAATCAAATAGGCGATCGTCTGCGCACTGAACACCTTGCCGCGTTCTCTGTGATGAACCCCAAAAATTTTTCAAAATTTGCACGTCAATTTCCCATCCATTTGTTGGCTACTGTCTCCAAATTTTACCCCATGATAAACGTGGGTAAATTGAAAAATGAATTGCGATGTATATACACCAATCAAACTTTTTTGAACATCACATCAACTTGCGCGCTCTATGGGTTCCTCATAGATAACACTCCAGTAACTACCTTTGCGGCGTCTGCAAAATTTCTGGACATCATTTTGACGACGCCTATTTCTTCCGCCGACGCAGAGCGAACATTCAGCACGCTGAAGCGTATTAAAACGTATCTCAGAAACACAATGAAGCAAGATAGATTAAATTCCTTGGCTGTTTTATCCATTCACAGAGACGTTATTTCTGGGATGCATGACTTTAATCAGCGCGTTATTGAGCATTTTGCTTCCAAGAAACCGCGGCGTGTTGCATATATGTTCAAGCAGTAGAAGTCTAGCAGCATATATATCTATGAGTGAGCGACGCATTAACTTTCCTTTCTTCATAGTAACGTTTTAAACCTTATTTTAGGTTTTGTCTGCTTTCCCGAAGTTTCTGTTAATATGTCATTGTATTTATCTGGGTAAATATTGCCTTTCCTTTTGAAAGAGGTTTCAAAATAAACTATGTCTATATTTATTAATCCCTTGACTTGGACCGGTTTTAAAGACACTTTCTTATCGTTAAAAATTGTCGCTTTTGCCGATTGGTTGTTACCAATGGAATGGTTTTTATACTCATAAAAGGATGGGAGAACTTACAGCGCTCATCCTGTCCCCGTAGATGGGGGTGACTTGGTCCCGCAGTAGCTTGCCCCGGTTGTCAAAATGACCACGCGCCGCCACTGGAAATGAAACATGTGATAGGGAGAATTCGGAGGAATATTTTCGATTTATTCAATTCCGAACAACTTCTGTTTTCTTCTTTCACCTAATGAATGTGGAGCAGGCTACTTCTTCTATTTCACGTTTTGCCTGCCTGATTCTCGCACACGCACACCAATATCATACAAACGCCCATATAGAAGTTGCCTTTTTTATTCAGATTCACAGAATTCCGATGCCAGATATTGGAGGACCGATGAACCAGAAGAGAAGCTCATTGGTCTACTTTGTCGTACCTGATAATGAAACGGATTTGTCAGAAATCGACTGCGAAGGCATCGACGCATTGCCGCAGGAAAATACTGAAAAACCGATTACGGCACTTGAACATTTGCGAAAAAAATATGAGGAAGTTAATCTACCTATTCCAAATTAAGACAAACCCAAATTTATTTACTTACCCGAATCGTTTATAGCCTATTAACCCCTGTTAATGTTAACCCCTGTTATATTAACCCCTGTCCACCTCGATCGTTAAATATTACAATATACGAACGTTTGGCATTACAATATATTATTTGATTATTGACCTCAAGAGGAGTTCAGATTGGGGTTCACTCTGCTAACGTGTGTATAATAGAACGCGAGTAAGGACGCGCAGATAAAGACACAGATTCAACTCTCAGATGTCGGCCTTACGAAATTTAAAAACTATTTTTTTTATTGTCAGGGGAGAAATATGCAGCAAATGTGGAATGTAACTATGGATTTTAAAGTTATTTAACTTCTTTGTATTGATAGTATGGGAATTAAATAAATAGTTTAGTAACCTATTTTCGTGACTTGGGCCTCAATTAGTAATGTATACTAATTACCACAAAAAGAAGTGGAACACTATTATGTGCTCGTTTTTGTAAAAAATGCAATTGTCTTTGTGCTATTGTGTTTATATAAATGTGTTATAAGATATTGTGTCTATATAATGTGAAGTTTTTATTAATGAAAACAAAAATGTGCCCTAGTAAAGTACGCGAAGAATTTGGGGGTCAAGGGTCGGGAGGCACACCATTGCTGCAAATAGTTTGCAACGGCGACGTAATTTTCGATTTGCTGCTGCCGATATCTGGGAAAATTGAAATATGGGTAATTCAGAGAATGAAAATCTCAGTGTCGTTTTGTATAAACGAAGAGAAGAGAAACCGCAGTGTGATATTGTTCTGGTGAGTGCTTATATAACGCTGTAACACGGAAATTAGCGCAGCGGTAACTGGTTCAGTACGGTATTACAGTAGGCCTACTGCAGTACCGGTACGGTACAGCAGTACGGTACCGGTACCGGTATGCATTGAAATGCTCATTGAATTCTGTAATTACTCGTGCGATACCGGTACAGTGGTAACATATTGAACATTCCTACAGTCAGCGATCTTCACAGGTCTGCCTACTACTGTACTAAACGACCCAACCATACTGCCATAGCTGCATACTGCCATACTGGCATAGCTTGTACCAATATCATTGGGTATCATATGCAGATTGGCACTTTCTTCTTCATTGTAGCTAATATAGTCTACCATAACTACCTATAAAAGAATGAATGAAGATTTATAAGAATTTTTATGTTTGTATTTTCAGATGTTATTTTATCAGTATAATGTCTGAATGTATTCACATCATTGCTTTTAATAATACCTTGGAAATTTATAAATGGTGACTTGACATCAATTTTTTTTGTTGCAGGAAAATCGCCCAGTACGAGAGCCAGCTGATGATGGTAGGCATAAGTGTGAATTCACACAAAACTGTTATTCCAGGTTTTTTATGATACTGCTATAACTATCAAAATACAAAATTCCAATTGGCAAATTGTTAAGAAAGAAGCGAGTTTGAATTGAATTGTAATTTTATGATTGGTTATGTACTGATTTATTAGTGTGATTTTCTACTATTAGGGTCGGATGTAATTTAGTACCCTGTGTACTTCTTATGGGTGTGGCTCAGCAATATTTGCATATGTCATTCCTAAATAACAATCCTAAATTTTATATGAGAGACAATTTAATCCAGCTTATTCAATGACATACCTTTTAAAATTCCTTATAAAACAGAGGTTGTCCTTAAAATGAATTCTGTTGGGATCTGTGGATCAGATGTTCATTATTGGTTGAATGGAAGAATTGGTGATTTTATTATGAAAGAGCCAATGGTTATTGGTCATGAGGCAGCTGGAACTGTCGTGAGATGTGGAAAAGACGTAAAACATTTGAAACCAGGTAAAGACATCAACACCAAATGGGTAGTTTTGAATTGAGTTGTCAATGCACGAGATGCAAGAATATATTTGAATTGAAATATATTTATTGGACACCAAGTTTACATATGTTGTTGTTGTTCATTTCCTTACTAGTTTTTCTTGTTATGAAAAACTCACTTTTTTATCAACTACCGGACCAATTTTTTTCAAGTTTTCAGTTTTTTGCTATATGCTATTACATTTATTTATCCAAAAATTTCTGTGGGCTTCACTGGATTTATTTTTGCAACTTTATCAAATTTAAAATTTGTGCACCCTGTGGTAGTAGTCTGTGACAGATCGCATACCTATACTACTTTATTTTGACCTACAAGCCCATATATTTGAGAATTCTATCTTGTTCATACAAACAATCAAATTTCTTATGTGAATTGTTCTAGGCTATATATATTACAGGTGACAGAGTTGCGATTGAACCAGGATATCCATTATGTTCTGATGAATTTAGTAAATCTGGCAGATACAATTTGAGTCCTGTATATTTCTGTGCTACGCCACCTGATCACGGAAACCTACAAAGATTTTATACTCATAAAGGATCATTCTGTCACAAGTACGAAAACATACTTATATAGGTATTACGATAGGATATAATAGAATTTCCATGAAGAAAGCATAACATATTTGCCAACCGCTGTGCGTCCTTGCAGAAATTGTCAAATAGAGTATAAGTATCGTAATTAAATTCAGTCATACACACATGGTTAGAGTTTTACAGTCTGATTTGTTTACTGACTTTGGAATTTTTTTTTTTGCTTCTTTGCTCTATTACAATGCTTCTAATATGGAATTGATAGATTTTTACTTTTCGATATTTATTATAAAATTTGTTTGCTATATTTATAGACTACCTGACAATGTATCATTTGAAGAAGGCGCTTTAATAGAACCTCTATCTGTGGGCATTCATGCATGTCGCAGAGCTCAAATTGGTCTTGGACATCGAGTTTTAATTTGTGGTGCAGGGCCCATCGGACTTGTATCTCTCTTATCAGCAAAGGCGATGGGAGCGGCTTCAATTGTAGTCACAGGTGTGATGTTTATTTTAAATAAAAGATGCATAATTATGTAGATTAATTTCTATGTTCTATTACAATTACTGACGAATAACCCCCCACTATAATTCTATATTAGCTCAGTATCTCATAGAATTTCAGTAGTCAGCCTAACTTTGCTCATGGTTGAGAACACCTTAAAATAAGTGAGTTTACGTACATGGTCGTTTTTTAAACCAATTTCCCCCAAAATCACATATAAATGGACTGAAAGATGGTAACAAATATCCAAATTTTGTAACTCTTATAAATACGATTGACAGTACATTGTTGCTTCAATATATTTTATTGCTGTAACTTTGTTAGGGTTCCATGTTATTGGCGAGGATAATGTCTTACATTTGATTTAGATCTTTCTTCAAATCGCCTCGACAAAGCTAAAGAGCTTGGAGCAAACTTTACATATCAAATAAAACTGGATGAAAAACCTCAAGATGTTGCAAAGAAAATTGAAGAAATGCTTGGAGGGATGCCAGATCGCACTATTGAATGCACTGGAGCAGAATCAGCAGTACAAACAGGGATATATGTATGTTCAATGGAATTTGAGTACTGTATTTTACGAACCATAAAGCATACTTCAAATCTAGGCACACCTAAAATCCTATTGTGTGCCTGACATATAAGCCAGTGCGGCCAATGTATATTCAGTTAGTGCTGTATGCTTTATTGCACTCAAAAACCAGTTCCTGTACCATTGTTTTATATACAAACCGCTGTCTTCAACTTCTGGAATAAAAATCGTTATAGTCTTATAACCCAGTGCGCCTTTGTATAAATAAAAACCCAATCTAAGCAACTCATCAGCAGTTCGCTTTGGAACCCATTGCGTTTTATGGTCCGTAAAATACGATATGTTTGTTTCTATTTATGAAGTGCACCGTGATTATTTTTATGCTTTTTATCAATAATTGTTCTTATTTTATGCATGGTTTTTAGCATTGCGGAGAGATAGACGGCATTTCGAATACCATTAAAATTACGATACACATTCTCATGAAAAATATTGGGCTTAAAATATAATCCAAAGGGGCGGTCAAGACAACTGTGAGGTCAACTGACCCCTAAGAAATTACCACCACCAGTTATGTGAGCTACCAATAAGGGTTTGAAGTTCAACAAATTTTTCCACCCAAATTTATGCCAGGGCCCATGAACTTCCATTTTGCTTTATTGGTTTAGAATTCATTGCTACAAAGGTGCATATAATACAGCAACTTATTTATTGAATTATTTTAGGCCACCAAGTCAGGAGGTTGCTTACTTCTTGTTGGTATGGGACCACAGAATGTTACTGTTCCTCTTGTAAACGCAGCTGTTCGTGAAGTTGACATCAAAGGCGTATTTCGTTACTGTAACACGTAAGTAGACTTATGTTTGCACAATTAATTAAGCATTAGACCAGTGTTCTTCAAACTTTTTTATCACGACCCACTTAGCATGACCAAATTTTTTCGTGACCCTCAGGAACTAAAAGTAAAATTTTATAATACAGTAATATTAAAAAAAAGACAGATGTGCTTGCATATTCTCACACAAAAGATTGAATCTTGGCTTATTTCAGTGATGGTGGGTCTCAGTACTGTTTCCAAATTTTAAATGTGTCTTTAACTGCGACCCCCTATTGAGCCCTTTTGCGATCCACTGGGGGTGTCGGACCTCTATTCTGAGAGCCCACATTAGACAATTATTAGACCAAGCAAATTTTTTTAGCCAAAATTTTCAACCGCAGATTCGCAGAGGCTTCACGAGAACAGATTTAATATAGTCTAAATTTCTTCTGCCGATCAGTCACCAACCGAAATTATGAATTCAATTTTTGTAACTTCCAGTTATAGGGGGTGTTCATTTTCTGTATGACCCGAAATTGAGATTGAAGATTTCTCAGATTTTTTGTGCTATTGCTTTATACATGCCGTAGACATGATTTGTGCTGTGTGTGTTTTCACTACTGGTGTAGTAGTACCTCATATCACTTCATGCTTTAACATTCATCAAATCTGTAAATGATTCAGTAAAAAATAAAACTATTTTTTATTACATTTAGTTGGCCTACTGCTATCAGCATGCTTGCGTCTGGTCAAATCAATGTAAAACCACTGGTGACGCATAGATTCCCATTGGAAAAATCGCAAGAGGCTTTCGAGTATACTAGAGATGGAAAAGGAATAAAAGTAATGCTGAAATGTGATCCAGAAGACCAGGGTGCTTAAATTCAAAGTATAATTGTGGAGACAGTGAGTGTAATTGAGATTGCAAAAATGGTGCTTGTTATCAATATGATGAAATATAATCAAATGAAAATAGCTCTGATTTAGCGTTCCCTTCAATATATCATTAACATTTATGGAACTCTATTCAAATACTCGATGACCTGAAATTGTTTCTTACTTTGTCTCTTCTATTCCATCCGCCTCAGTGTGTAATTCGTGGAAAATTTCACCTTGTTGTGATTTAGTGTGTGCCAAAGTTTTAAAATAATCTTGTTGCATTACACACCACGTTCGAAAAATTGTTGGGATTGTGAACAAACTTCCATAAACACATATAACAAACTTCAATAAAACATGTCCTGAAAAACTATCGCTTTGAAGATGTTTTTGATGGGCCGAATTTGAAATGTTCGGCTGCAAAAGAGAAATATCGATGTGCAGCACTGAATGATTCTGTTCGCATGCCACGCTCGAGCCTATTGTGTGTCACATTCGGCGTGTGCCCTGTATTGTGCAATCCTGATTTGGTGCAAAGTGCTCATTTTATTGATAGACAACAAATTTTGAATGTTCGATTTCTGAAATAAGTTACTATGAATGTATGTGCCACTAGCAGGCGGTGAATATTTATCAAAGCATTGTATTCTGGCTGTCTGTTGCTACTAATGTTATATAGTATATATATGTGTTTAAGTTATTACTTATCGATCGGTATGTATGTTGATAGGTATTTGTCTGTTTGTTTCACTTTCGTATGTTACGTGATATCCCACGAAAGCGAGGTTGAATATGCTCCAATTTTTGCGTTTGCATTCATTATATCTCGGACCAGAAGCCTATTGATTTTGGATGAATTATGTTGTATACTTAGCGAGTTATTAATTAATTAGTGATGGGACACGTCACACGCGGTGTCGCTGTTGAGTCAGAGCGAAGGAATCGAAGCTACAAGATCGATAAGTCGGCGGTCTCCAATCGCTATCTAGTTTATGTTCATTATTTGATAACCTTCTACTTCAGGTACTGTTCTGATATTTTTTGCATCCCAAAGCAAATTTTTGAACAAACATTTTGTATCAGTCAATCACTAATGGCTTTGATGGCAAACTTGTGTGCATTTTTTTATTTGAAGTAACAATTAATATGTGCCAAAGTTTTTTTCATTCACCATCAACCATTTCTTATAGAGCACCGAATTATATATTCATATTTGATATACTGAGACCAGAAGTTTTTACTACACCCCAGGTCTGGTTATTTTTCAGTGATTTGAGCAACTTCGTTCATTGTTATAAATCTCCTTTGGGAAAATTGTAGCCATTTTCTCATTCAAATGAACGAATGTATAATACTATCGATGTCATTGTATTAGTAATTATAAACAGCTTGATTTGCGATTTTATTAGCAATTTTTATCATTTTAATAACCATGTAAATGAACTCATAATAAATTTTTTATAATTCTACTAATTTCTAATACACATCCTTCTATAAACTAAAGAGGTATTTTGCTGTTATTGAATCATTTGAGGTCGCATTGGATATCATGTATCGTAGAGAACAACTGTTTGAACTATGATGGTAAAAATTTTCATTGGGTGTTGAAAAATTTAGTTGCCTTTTAAATTCATATTTTAATGCTTTGTGTGCAATAAATTATACTTATATAATTAACACTTAACACGACAATTTTTTCTCTCTTTGCAAAGTTTGGGAATGATTGTCTAGAACAGGGGTTCCCAACCTTTTTCCTGTTAAGTACCCCCCGAGTCGTAAAAAAATCAACACATAAGCAACACGAACCCAGACAGAATCAGACACCAAACACCGGCATCAGTTTTTTTGACGGTCTGCGAGAAATTTTGTTGTTTTTCCGCCGTCTCAATCGCTTTACCGAACCCGAAATATCGACATTGCGTTTGTTTATTACGTAACATATTGCTTTCGCCGACATAATGCTGTTTGCGGTATTAATTGCCCGACGATGTCTTGGCGCCGAGTAATCACGCTTTTTCGGTTCCAATTCACCGCGAAGCGTCCGTCCAATCTCGCAAGATTCATAAACCCAAAGATAGACACATGTATTTTTTCTGTTCTGCATGCTTTTCCTGCTCAATATGAACATCCAATTAAAAGGTTATAAATATTTCTTTGTTCGAACCAGAAAACAGTCATAGACAGTATAATATTCCAGGGCTTCGCTTTGACATCCAGTAAAATATGAGCTTGTTGCGACCCTGCAGGTGGTCACAAGACGCACAATAAAATCATGGGCCTCGGAGATCTTTTCCAGGTAATGCACAGATGCACAGCAGCACTCATTTCAATTTTTTGCTGGTCTGCAAGTGCATTTTATTTAATTTTACCAGTCCGCCAGAAAGGTTGGGAACCGCTGTTTCAAATGATATAAACAAAACTATTCATTTAATTTATACAGAACATTAGTGTGAAGGCCAATAAAAGTTTCTCAATTCGAGGAGCAAACAACACATTGTCTTTTGAGATTTCACAGTTTGGCTCCAAAGCTGTGGATTTCACATTGTTGAGTCACAACAACGCAAGATCGGGGAAAATCCACGCCGAGTTTCAATCAACACGCATTTTCCTCTGATAGTAAATGACATTAAAAAATAGCAACACATGAAAACTCAACTGCCTTTCAAGTACCCCTGGAAATCGATTCGTGAACCCCGGGGGGTTCGCGAACCTCAGGTTGAGAACCTCTGGTCTAAAATATAGGATGTTTGGCCCACGCGTGGACTATACTAAAAGTAGTTGTATATTGTTGTCTTTCAGTGCGTTTGTCTAAATCAGGATGAGGCCAGTTTTTGGGGTGTTTATATCAACATTTAGATTAATTTTGCATTTAAAGCAACATTGCGAGAGGTGAATACAAAAAACTTTTTTGTTCTTCTACGATTATTGTGCACTGAAGTGTACATGTCCCAAACTCTGATTCAGGTCAACAAGGTATTGTAATAATGTTTGTGATGCGGATTTGGGGGCAAATAAACATGCCGTTCATATAAGCTCTTGCAACCGTTTCGTTCGTTATTTGCGCCTGGTGATCACCGAGATTAAATACTTCGGGAGGAAAAGCAATTCCAAAATATTTCCGTGTTATATGTAAAATTGTCTGATATGGAGCTGAGCATTTGGTCACACTACCGAAGATAAGGCGGGGGATATATTTATGGAAATCTCGGTTATATTTCTGCTCAAATTTTATTGATGTATAAATTCTGATATTCCGCTGACAACATTGGAAGTTACTCTGGTGCCGAGCGCACAGGTTTACGGATTTGTATGTTTTTAGCGTATTTACTAGTAGTCCGGCGGATAAGAGGTAAAATTATGCACTTTTGAATACAAGTATGAAATTTGACACACATGTACAGTAGCATCCCCTGATCAATTTTGGATATAGTGCCATGCAAGAAAATACCTCGTTGCCACGGAAACGAGGCATTATCCTTATTGCTATTAAAGTGAAAGAAACATTACTTTAGGAAAGGATATTTTCAAGATAAGTAAACCGGTGTGTATTTAAAAAAGAACGAGGTATCGTTATCTACCCAACGCTATTATTAGTCGCACTACCTGAACCCCAACGGGAACACGAATACTTGTGCTGTAGAATTTACATCTACAGTATAAATATATAGTTTTTTATGGATACATATTTCCGTTGAAACTAACTAGTCATCGGCTAATGTATAGACATGTATTATCTGCACCTGAAATAATGTGGAAGGCCAGCCACCTATACCTAAAACTCAGTGGCGGCGCGTCAATAAGGCCAACCGGGGCAATGCCCCGGTTGTTTTTTCGGTATAATAAAAAATATTCGAAAAATACCTCAATATCGGATGCACAGACTGTCTACACTAGCCATATTCTCCCGACATGGTTCATTTTTCGCTCGCAAAGCCTTCGCCGAACGTCGACGGGGCGACGCCGATTTTGCCCCGGTTGCTCATTGTATATCGTATTCTCTCTTTTATCTTCCACTCGCCGCGTTTGTCTCGTTTGTTTTCTGTTTCTTTTACTAAATCATCGGGGCTAGCCCCGAAATTATGACGACACAATGCCGACGTTTCTTACAACAACGTGTTGACATATTCACGCATTCCTTCTCGTTCGTTGGTTGCTTGAAGAGTTGATAGTTTCCTCGCCTTCGTTTTTGTCGCTTGTTTCGCTATTTGAATCAGTTAGAGACCTTTAGTCCATTTGCTTTCGATTTTCCACATTCCTTTTGAGCTTCTCATTTCTTAGCCTTAGACCTCATAATGATTAAGGTTGATGCACTACTTCGCACTCCGTTTTCGCAGCTGCCGCTGGAAGAAAAATTAGAGGTACAACGTCTTGGGCCTTATCAACCAAAAGATTGTTCACTGGAACAATCCCATGACGGAGGAAAGCGTCGGCGTACATTCTGCGCAGAAACTTGGTATAAAAAACACGAATGGTTGTGTTACAGCGAGGACAAAAATGCACTTTTTTGTTTTTATTGCCTACTTTTTGCTACCGCCCGTGACTCACGTTGGTGTAAATTTGGTTTTAAAGATCTTAAACATCTTTCCGAGCGTGCCAGGGATCATCAATCTTCTATGGAGCATCTGGACAATGCAGTAAAATACCGAACATTCGGAAATGTTAATATTGCAGCACAGTTGGATGAAGGACGCGCGGTTTCTATTCGTCGGCACAACCAAAACGTCGAGAAAAACCGCCATGTTCTCGGTCGATTGATAGATGTTTTGAAGTTCATTGGTTGTCACGAGCTGTCCCTCCGTGGGCACGATGAACGGTCTGGCTCTTCTAATAGAGGGGTATTTTTGGATATGGTGGAATACACCGCATCCCTAGATACAGTATTGAGAGATCATCTTGATGCCGCAACTGTTTCGAAAGGGACATCTAAGGATATCCAAAATGATTTGCTCGACTCAATGTACGGTCGTGCGTTTCACGTGCGTTTCCCAACTGGCTGTGATTTTTCGGTTTGTGAAAGATGGTAAACCTATCGAGAGATTTCACAGCTTTGTACCAATCGTGGATCGCACGGCTTGCGGGATATCGGCTGTACTGAAAGAAGTGTTACAGCCTTACAACGCGAAGTCAAAATTGATAGCTCAAACTTATGACGGCGCGGCAGTCATGAGTGGGTCGAAACATGGCTACACGACTTTCAAGAATACATATAAAAAATATTTAATCAAAAACTACCGGTACCGTTAGTCTTCATAAACTGTGGTTTTGCTGACAGCTGGACAGTGTCATACAGCACCATACCGGTACCGTGGTAACCTACCGGTACTGTCTTCTGTGTCATATAAACGATAGCGGTTCATTAGTTCGCTTCACTGTGTACCGTGATATAGCTTCCGAGTTATCTAATATGGTATTATCTTACTTACTCACATATTTTCAAATTTTCTGGCTCTATAAATCAGATTCTGAAGCGCGTGCGGTCGCTCAGCAACCTGAACAATTTTCCAGTTCGTTGACAAATGATTGCCCTCCGTAGCTAACCAACTGTAACTAAGATGTGGCTGGAGTCGCCTCCGATCTGGATATATGCGCCTAACATCGGCCTGGTGCCAAATTTTATTTTCTACCCTAAAAGTTTTATGTGGATGGTTGTACATTGAGTATGAATTGTGCCTTATAATTCGTACATAGAGGTTGCTTAATTAATTTTTTCTCATCAAATAAAATGATCGCTCAATTTAATGTTGCATATGACAATATATAAAAATTTAATCGCTGCAATTGTACAAAAACACAGCTGAATGATATGGTGATTTATTTTTATAATTACAGTATATCAATTGAATTTTCCCGACTTTTATTTTTACTTTCTCTCCCAAATCATATATAATGATTCATATCAACCTTGTTGGTTAATTTATGAAGGGATAAGCTTTTCTTTGTGCATATTGCTTTCACTTATTTCAATTTTTTATTATTGACTCGTTTTTAATCTTGGTGTCGCAGACTTGTGATGACCATTTCTGGTCCTTCGCGACTTCCTGTCAATTGCGATGAAATCCGTTACTGTATTTGAAATGTACTGTAATACTGAATTTGTATTGTGATTTCTTGCACGACGAAATAAACTTATTGTCTATTGTCTATTGTTCAAGTTTATATAAAAGAAGATTTTCCTCTTGCGCATTTTTTACATTGTTATGCACACCAATTTAACCTCGTTATTAAAAATATGTGTCTTGATACCCCTCTCGTCCGTATATTTTTTGCAAATGTTTCGGGGTTTTCTTCATTTTTTTCCGTTTCGCCGAAGCGCTCTGACCTCCTTCGCCAGATATGTAGCCGCCGTCTCCCAGCTTGTGCACCAACACGTTGGAACTTCCGATCACACGTGGTGCAGGGCGTGTCCGAAATTAGGTCTGAGCTCATTGAGTGTTTCAATGGCATTCAGAGCTCTCCGGTTTGGGACGAACGCTCTGTGAGGGAGGCGGCAGGTCTAAAGCGTCTGCTAGAAGATGGTGAGTTTTCATTTTTTCTCCACAATATTCTATCACGTGGATGTATTATACGGCGCATTGCAGTCAAGGCTAATGGATGGAGCGTCAGTGCAGTCGTGTATTTCAGACTTCTGCGATGCTGTATCTCGTATCCGGGAAACAATAAAATACGACGACACATGGAGTGCTTCTTTACGCTGCTTCTTTGATGAACCCCAAAAATTTTTTAAAATTTGCACGTCAATTTCCCATCCATTTGTTGGCTACTGTCTCCAAATTTTACCCCATGATAAACGTGGGTAAATTGGAAAATGAATTGCGATGTATATACTCCAATCAAACTTTTTTGAACATCACATCAACTTGCGCGCTCTATGGGTTCCTCATAGATAACACTCTAGTAACTACCTTTGCGGCGTCTGCAAAATTTCTGGACATCATTTTGACGACGCCTATTTCTTCCGCCGACGCAGAGCAAACATTCAGCACGCTGAAGCGTATTAAAACGTATCTCAGAAACACAATGAAGCAAGATAGATTAAATTCCCTGGCTGTTTTATCTATTCACAGAGACGGTATTTCTGGGATGCATGACTTTAATCAGCGCGTTATTGAGCATTTTGCTTCCAAGAAACCGCGGCGTGTTGCATATATGTTAAAGCAGTAGAAGTCTAGCAGCATATATATCTATGAGTGAGCGATGCATGTCCTTATCTTTGCATTATCATTCCTTTCTTCATAGTAACGTTTTAAACCTTATTTTAGGTTTTGTCTGCTTTCCCGAAGTTTCTGTTAATATGTCATTGTATTTATCTGGGTAAATATTGCCTTTCCTTTTGAAAGTGGTTTCAAAATAAACTATGTCTATATTTATTAATCCCTTGACTTGGACCGGTTTTAAAGACACTTTCTTATCGTTAAAAATTGTCGCTTTTGCCGATTGGTTACCGATGGAATGGTTTTTATACTCATAAAACGATGGGAGAACTTACAGCGCTCATCCTGTCCCCGTAGATGGGGGTGACTTGGTCCCGCAGTAGCTTGCCCCGGTTGTCAAAATGACCACGCGCCGCCACTGCGTAAAACTCATCCAAGATGACCCGATTGCTACATTATGCTGTTTATTATATAAACCCTAGTTTAGGTTTGGACTTATTTTTCTATCAACATTCTCTCTGCAGCTGCCGTAATTTGCCAGCCACTGTAACAAATCCATCAGTATGAGTGGGAAACGCAATGTGGATACCGAATGACGTTTTTTAACAAGAAATGGAGAGGCGTATTTTTTAAAGACAATATTTAACTGCCTGCTTAATTTGTAATGAAGTGTTCCGGTGTTCGAAGAATATAACATTATGAGACCTTTTTTTTTAACAAAACATATCATGTAAGACTTTCGCCAACTATTTTCGACTCAAGAGCTTAAAATCAGCAGATACGGTTATAAAGCTCACTTCACTTCATAGCCCACTAACTAAGTCTATTATCTGTAACTGTACCCCCTCAGAAAAGTGATTTTCCACACCTGCTGGGGCAAGATAAACTACGCCGAGTAGAAAACATTTACATTTTCTCATTTCGGTCCACCAACCTGTCAAGATATAGGCCATAAAAATAGATTCCCATAATCTAATCTCAATCCTTATACACTTAATATTATTCCATACATATTACGATCTTAAACCGTTATTTAATATATCGATCGGCCAAATTTGTTACCGTTAAATAACAATGTCGAAAACACATTTCCTGAGAACCGCGATCATAATCACTGTAACATATATAGAACAGTATGTTGCCTGGTGTTCAACAGAATTGCAGTCTTATAAAATGTAGTGAAAATATTGAGGTTTGTTGGAGCTTAGTGCACCCGATTTTCGAGAGGGAAGGTATTATTAATGTTTATTGTTAATTGAATTCTGATTATTAGGAGGGCAATATAGATATTTACTATTTTCACACGACACAGATATAGCCAACGGCAATATATGGAAGAGTAGAGTGTACCTAAAAGTTTGAGTCGAATTTAATTAGGCAATATATTGTTTGAAGTATATATCTATAGTAAAATTGCCCCCAGTAGTTATTGGGGAGTCTTTGTGAAATATATTTTTGGAAAATATAATTATTTCAATCGTTTTTCTATAAAATATAAAAATATACCATTGGCAACGGCAGTTGATTGAGCACAAAAGAAATTACAGTTTGAAAGTGAATGTACCTTAATTTGTGATTCATGACAATAACAGGAATACTTCCCCCTCGTGTCGGACACAATAGGAATTGCCCCAAAAAAGCCAAGTTTGTAACAAGCAAGGTGAAATCAGTACCAATCTGTTCATTCAATAAACAAAGGATTTACAATTGATTATGGAAATTTATTGCTAATTCGGTGCAGTCGATTTTTCCAAGCGTAGTTTGGCTGGGATATCATGTTGATCAGCTATAATATGCATGTACATAGAAAGTATGTCCATTAAATAGTAGGGATGAGGGAGCTTCAGAAGTATGTGCACCAAGGTGGCACACAACATGAACGTAGTATTTGTGTTCCGGTTAGCGTTCAGGTTGTGCGACTAATAATCGTGTTTGGTCGATAACGATACCTCGTTTCCATGGTAATCAGGAATTCAGTTATCAAGGGCAATTGTCAAGATGCACTTTTTATCATATATATTTCTTACTTCTTAAATACACATCGGTTTACTTATCTTGGAAATATCCTTTCCAAAAGTAATGTTTCTTACACTTGGATAGCAATACGGATGATGCCTCGTTTCCATGGCAACGAGGTATTTTCTTGGATGACACCATATCAAAAATCAATCAGAAGATACTACTGTACATGTGTGCCAAGTTTCATGCTTGCATCCAAAAGTGCACAATTCTATCATATTTGAGGTCTTATGGACTAATAGCCAATTTGTTGCTAAAGGCCATTTGGTCCGGAAATAAAAATAATTTATAACAATTCTTGATATTTGCTCTTTCCCGAGGGCATTTGGCTGAACGCCATTTTACGATAAATAATTTGAATGAGCGTTTTACAATTTTGCGTTCCCTGCTTTAATATCGAAGTTGAGTCAAATCGTAACTGGATACGTCTGCAAAATGGCTGAAATTTCGATTATTATTAACTAGTACAGTATAATTGTTATTACCTACGATAGAAATACTGTATATTGATCAGAACCTATTAATCATTAACTTTTTCATTTTGCGTAAAACCTAACGCCCGGAAATTGTAATAATAGTTAATTGACTCGCCATTATGCAAAATTATTATCACTTAAAAAGCACAAAGGAGGATTTGTGTGTCACGTTATAGCCTTGCCGCCGTATATTTCCAGCAGTCAGTGCATGAATATTATAGTTTGCCACAAGCAAACTCTTAAACGCCTTATATTTGCTCTTTGTGAAATGTAGGTAATCGTGGTATACATGTTAGTAAAGTTAGCTACAGTATACGGTGTCAGGTTTAGGTTGCTTCATCCATCAATAAGCAATGTCTGAAACGGCAAACGTTAATTTGTGTGCAGTGCTTCATAAACGAAGAGAAGAAAAACCATGTTGTGACATTGTGTTGGTAAGTATTTAGAAGCTGTGGTCCGATATTGTACTCAATAGATATGAATAGATAATTTGACACGAACACTATCAATCATTTTTATGTAATCGAATCCCAAATTTTAATCCAAAATTGATAGCTTAAGTATAGTCAATGTCAGATGCCAAAACGTTTGGTCGTAAATTTGAACATCCCCGCCAGGTTCAAAAGAGACTAAATTTGTAATTATCTCGTTAAGGTTAAATTCAGGAGGAATGATTCAAAAATGTGAATTTTCAGTGCAATTTTCATACATAACCCTCACTCTAACACGATAATTACTAATTGTTGAGCGGTGGCGGGAGTGTTTTTTTGACCGAGTCTTTGTACAAAAGATACGAAATTTGACCCACATTTGTGTTTGTCAATGTCCGATATTACTACACTACATTTTATATAACAAAAATATGCATCGCAAAACAATTTATTTTATACGGAACATTTGTTCTATAAACTCTATTATGCAATTCCCTTTGCAGGAGAAGCGGACAATCAAAGAACCAAATGATAACGGTGAGTCGATTAATTTTTATGTGAAGGCAGTAACCACTGAGCTACTTCGACAAAATGGTATATATTCTATATGCTGCTTTCTCGTATTTAATACTAACACGAATGCAATACCATAAATAAACCCGGCAAGATTTTACTTCACGGATTTAGGTATATTCAGGATTATACGACAGAAAATGAGATGGAACCCTCTTGATTCAAACGGCATCATATAACATTACATAATTTTGCATAAATTTTTGTGATTTCTCTCGATTTTTTTCTTTACAAAATACATTTTTGTGTACCATGGAGTGAAAAATGTGCAGTGAAAGTGACGACAAAATTTGCAGCACAAAAGTAACAAAAAAATAACTGAAATTTTACATTTAGAGGTTCTAATCAAAATATATTCTGTTGGAATTTGTGGATCTGATGTTTGTTTCTGGAAAAACGCTGAAATGATCGGATTAAAATTAGAAACACCAACAATTTCTGGACACGAGGCTTCTGGAACTGTTGTCAAATGTGGGAAAGATGTGAGTCATCTTAAAGCTGGTAAGCATATGTGTATGAACTTAAGGGCATTCAGCTAATTCAGCACGATATCTGTGTGCGTTTTATGAAACTGATTGCGGTTTCATAAATTGGAATTGATTAAAGTTATATTGGTCATTATAGTATATATTTTTTTAATTACGAATGCTACAGCTATTTTTCTAATCGGGTTGCTGCCCTGCGTCGATTGGATTCATACCAGCAAACCATTGACGTGATGATTTCGCTTCACTATCCGCTTCATAATCCATCTGTTTGAAACCGAAATAATATCGGCTCAAAGTCAGAACATGTCCTTAAATCTGTTTCACCTCGGCACGTCCATGCTTCATGTTCATTAGTTGTACGAGGAACTCCTTTGAAAATCAAATAAAAGCTTAGTTTGACGATCTATTACTATCCAGGTGATCGAGTTGCAATTGAACCGTGCTTTCCCTTATGTTCCGACGAATTTAGTAGATGTGGTCGTTATAATTTGAGTCAAATATATATGTGCTCTGGCCCTGGAATGGATGGTGCATTGCAGCAGTATCTAACACACCGAGCGGACGCTTGTTTCAAGTAGGTATTGTTAAATTTAATAAGAAAAACTACATTCATATATATTTTAGTTGTCTTTGAACAACGGACGATGCTCATATCAGTAAATCAGTAAGCCCCTCAAGTCGGAGAAAACTGTACAGAAATATATTTGTGTTAGTGCACAACAGGACTCTTGGATCACTTAGGACCCTTCGATTTATTAACAAGATTCATAGGTTTACGTGGCAAGTTATTAATGTTAGGGACAAAATTCTTGATTTGAGTGTTTAAACAAGAGTTTTATGGTAATCTGATCACGGTTAGTAATGTAACACAGAAACAATCTTGAAAACTATTTAAAAATCCATATGAGAAATATTCAATTGTATACGGAAACTTATATGACCATGTATGGTTTATGATGCAAATATAAAACAGCATTCATAAAGGCTGGGCCTAAACCCGTGGTAATCCATAGCACCCTTGTACTTTCAGAATCGTCCTGAGAAAATAACATATATATACACATGCAGAAGCAAAATTTTCCTAGGTTTTATTGGACTAGTGATATCAATTCGACATAATATAACTAACGATTTCTAGAAAAAATTTTACTTGTACTTTCAATGTACTTATATTCAGATTACCAGAAAACGTTTCATTCGAGGAAGGGGCTCTTGTGGAGCCATTATCCGTAGGAATTCATGCTTGTCGTCGTGCGGAAATTGGTCTTGGGCATCGTGTACTGATTTGTGGAGCTGGTCCTATTGGTCTTGTGTCGTTGATTGCGGCAAAAGCAATGGGGGCTTCTGATGTTATTATTACAGGTATAATACGGTACTTACTCCTATATGCCATCAAATCGCTTTTAATTTAGTTAGCCTTCTCCCTAGTCTACAGGTTTGCATCAAGGCGTTGAAAAAGATTTTCTAAATCTCTGTCTTTATGAGGGTATTTTTGTTGATCAAGTGATTCAAATTATCAGTGAGATTTTTGGATATGTTTGGGTTAGATATATAAAAAGTTTCAAATATCAACCTGGAGTTGGATTAGTTGAAGGGAAAAAGCTAAATTGATATTTTTGGAGTTATTCTTTTGTTACTTTCATATTCCATAGCATATCAGTATGGAACAGTCTACCAGACATGGTTTTCAACTAAAGTAAGCAAATTTCAAGGCAATGCATTCGTTTTGTTGTATAGATAAATTTGACTATCGTCTGCAAAAAGCTAAAGAACTGGGTGCTAATTTCACAATAAAAATAAAGGAAGGAGATGAACCGCAAGGTGTCGCCAAAACAATCAATGAGTTATTGGGAGCGATGCCAGATCGGTCAATTCTGTGTACAGGAGCTGATTCCGCCGTACAGACTGCAATATATGTAAGTACTATTTGTTGAAAATAGAAAGTATTTATGATAACATATAGTATTGTTTAAGAACGTTAGATTATGTATTCTGTATTCTGTAAATTTTGACCACCAATATTTGTGATTGTTTAGGGCTGCGGTTTAGCGGAAAAATCATTTTCAGAAAACATTTCATTCTTCCTTAATTAAATAATCTGGCATACCTGTAATTTGATTTTATGTATAACTAAAGGCAACAAAGGCTGGTGGTTGTGTAGTTCTTGTTGGATTTGGATCAGGAGACGCACGAATCCCACTAGTTCATGCAGCAGTTCGAGAAATTGATATCAAAGGCTCTTTCCTGTATACGAACACGTAAGTTTATTAATAATGAAGTAGATGAAAATGAAAACCAATGTAATCAAAGTAACTGCGATGGAATTCTATCATAAGTTCTTTTTCTATTTTCAGGTGGCCAGCAGCAATAAAAATGATTTCATCTGGGAAAATAGACGTAAAACCTTTAATCACTCATAGAATACCGATAGAAAAAGCCCAAGAAGCATTTCAATTAGCAGATGGCATGAGCGCCATCAAGATCATAATAAAATGTAACCCTGATGATCAAAATAATTGATTCAAACTTTTTTGAAAGAACAAATAATACTGACTTGCATTTTGGGGTACGCATTTTTATTTTGATGTAAGACAAGGATAAACCATCCCTTTACTATTCCATGAAAATCGGAGTAAAATTTATTCAGATATATGAATTTTATCAACCATTTTATGCTCCATATTCGTCATTGAACAAAAATTATCCGCACGGAGTATCTAATGTACACGATTGATAAGGGGTATGTTAACTCATAATAAGGTTCCAGACAAGAGCTACCGATTAAAACGGGGTTAATGCTCTTGGAAAACCCGGAGTCTCGTCGGGTGGGCATTGGAGCAAGCAAATTGCCAGAAAACATTTTGCGAAAAAAGTCTTCTGAAAGACGACGTTTGTGGGATTATATTGATTTGCTATAAGTATATGTTGCAATATTAAAATAGTTTTTGCTATTGCTGTAAATATACGAATTTTTCAAACAATGAAAATATATATATTATATATATATATATTAGTTCATATCATTTCAAACTACTCCAATACGACAAATTCGCGAAACTACATTTGCGCGAAAGTCCATTCTCGCAAAACTGTATCCTTGCAAAGTCTGTTTATTCAGATGCTTAAAAACCAAACTCTAAAATCGCTACATTAGAGAAAAAACAATATACATGTATAACCTATATGAATATTGCACGTAAAAAGCATACTAACTGAGAAAAGGGGAACGTGATGAAAAACGAATCAAGAATATATTTGGATGATTCGTCGATATAGGTAGAATTACAAATAGGAAAACCGCTGGCAAATATATTTAGAATGTGTACTGTGGTATTTGCGATTGATAAAAAAGTATCGGGGCTGAGAAATAAAATATATATAGCCTATACGTAACCGAGTTATAGATGGGGTTGAACAGCAAAAGAGAAACACGAAAAAATGAGAGAAGTTTAAGGTCTGATATAATGACCAGTGCTGAATTAACCACCAGGCTAAAAAGCATGTTCTTAGGGCACCCCGGAAAAGGGGGCACCACAACAACTTAAAAAACAAAAACAACCTGCAATAGAATCCCAAGCGATGCATAGTAGAATAGAAAACTGATTGACGATACTTTACATTGAGTAGCTGGCGCTCCAGGAGTGTTTTTATACCACTATGGAAGTAATTTTGTTCGCTTACATTACATCAAGATGTGAAAAGGGGTGGAAGCCTATGCGCAAAGGGTATATATATTCACTTGGCTAGCACAGACAGTCCCCGAACTCGTAATAGTACTAAAATAAGGAAAATCGGAATGAAATTTTGGTCTGATCATAACCTGGTACACACACTATACGAGAGTATCGATTAGCTTATATTTCATCGTGATCCGGGGAAAGATGACTTGTTGCTTCGACGTAGTTTTAAACTGAATAGGAAGGTAGATCACACGCACAATTTTCTGTTTTTTTTTTCTTTAGTGCCTGCGGTAGCATGTTTCACCTGTCGCCGGGTTCTTAAGACAAAATTTATGATGTTTTATGTTCTGTATGTATGATATTGTTTCAATATATATGCAGCATAAATATACAACTAGATGCAGCAACGTTTTGATTAAACATCACGTCAATCTGTGTTTAAAAGGTACGGTAATATTTCATACTTTTAAAAATATTCTCAAGCTATTATAAATCTCTAATAAACAAGAGAGCAACGCTAAAATATAATATGGACACGTAGACGAGAGCGAATCAGTCCTTACCGGTACCTTTGACGCTACCGGTACCATCAAGAATATTCTAAATCCGGGTGGTCCAAACCCAGGCCCGCTGGCCACATGTGGCCCGCCGTTTCATTATCTGTGGCCCGCGTCACATTCGGAGAGTAATCAAAAAATAGCATTTCGTGTTGTTTTGTAATCAAATTGATCAGAAAAAAATCGTTTTTCCTATTGTTACACCACTAATGTCACTGAATTGACTAGTGTTATGGCTAGTTGAGGCAACTAGCAAAGTTGAATGATGTGCTTAACAGTCTAAATTATTAACCGGCTTTCTATCTTTTTGATTGGGAATATATTATGCTAACTATAGAAAACTAAAAATCTAATGCAGATTCTATTAGCCTTGGATGGCTATGTCTGATAACTATGTGTTTGCACAATAAAAGCGTTTGTTTTGTATTGCACTGTTTACCTATTCTTGGCACTATTGTGGCCCGCGAGCAATGCAAAAATAATTTTGTGGCCCGCGGAGCTGACAACCTTGGACCACCCTGTTCTAGATTTTCAGTAGCAGGAATTTTGCAGAGTCAAAACGTACAGCCAGTCTCCACGCGGACTAAAATCCGTGTTCCACTGGATAAAAAAAATACAGAGAAATTTTGGACGAAATATCAAATTTAATAGAATTCGTACAAAATTTAGAAATAAATAAAAGTAATAGCCTTCTAGAAAAAAAATCCAACTTCAACTACTGAAAATTTCAAAGCAATTGGTCCAGTAATCAAAGAAAAAAGCAACTTTTTAAAAACGTGTCAAAGAACAAGAACATGAACAACAACATAATATTGAAACGATCGCTATGTCCACTACGTATCCAATGAGACGTAAGCAGCCACGGAGTGAGATCACAGCGAGGAAAACCAGACCGAGACAATAGCATAGGGCCAAAATGTTCGAAAAGTGAGTGAACTTCTCAGTGATACTTGCATAGCCCTTGAAACTGAGGAAAATTGAAAATCATCAAAGTAGATGATTATTGTAGTTAACGCGCCAAAAAGATATAATACATTATCAGCGCGTCAGTAAGATTTCCAAGCGTAGATATAAAGAAAGCTCAACTATGAAACCACAATCTCGGCATCTGATAAGAATCATGAAATATTTCTAAAAATTATCCCTAAATTAAAACTACTTGTAAAAATATTCTGTAATGGTAAAGATTAGGAAGAATTCCTCTTGAATCAAAGTTTGGACAAACATGCATTAAATTGTAAATAAATATTTCTACTGATTGGACAGCGCTGGCCTTTCAAACCAACAATTGTAATTTAATCGAACGGGTCGCAGAGACACTTTTATCGCCTGTTTTCATACATGGTTGTAAGCATCGGATCGCATATAAACATTTCACTCGTTTCTTCCACTTATTCATGTTTATAAAATTGATGTATGAAGCAATTAACTTAGACATTCTGGGACAAAGACTTCTGATTTGATAGGAGTTTCACGGGCTCCTTCATACCGGTCGTAATGGACATTGAAATATTTGTAAATTTTGCTCCACCTATAGGTTTTTATGATCGATTTATTTTGTCCAACACTTCTCACTTGGTAATCTAATGCAGTATTCTCTATTGGTCACGAAATTGGCTTGTGGATCGTTTTGATATTATTTTGTTGTTCTTCTTGTTATTAGTATTTGTTCTCCCAAGTTAGGGCAAAATGCTACTTGAACACTTAGGGACACTTATGCGTGCATGAATCCTTTCCTATATCAAGACTTTTTTGGAATGTTAATGGTGATGGCTGGTGATATCCGGGCTGTTGGAAATCAATTTGTAACACTGATGTAACGTTTGGCATTTTTATTGATATTGACGTTACGGTAAAATGCTACTTAATTAATTAACGACTGATTCTTTTCAACAGTAATACTGTTAAACGACGTCAGTCGGTAAAATTTTAAGTAGCATTTTGTCGTAACTTCAATACCTTTAAAAATAGGAATATATTGCTATTGGGAAGGATTTATGGGCGCATGGATGTATGTTCATAAAAGTCGTGTCTGTGTCCGTGGGTTCTACTTAGTCGTTGTTTTGGCTTTAGCTTGGAGATGTTACTCACAGAAGCCCTATCTTTGTTGTTAATCGACATATCGCTGATAAATATGGGTGTTAAAGTTGGAAAACCAATTATTGAAATGCTAGACTATTTAGCTATTTGAGGTTGGATTTAGAACCTGTAAATTTTATTCAAACAGCGAATAATCACATTATGATGACATTACACATGATGAAATTACAGTGTCACGCCTTCGGGACACCAAAACAATTCATAACATGACCACGGATAAGACGAATAAAAACGTGAGGGACTAATTACTACGACTCGACATGCGTGCAGTGTAAGTTGGATTTTGTCTGGCTTATCAGCCCTGGTTTGAACAATTCAATTTGTGTTTGATAATGTTTCGGGTGATAGCACATTTGAACCCACGTACATTTGAACCCATACATATATTCACCCGTATATCCGCGGGTTCAATCTATTTGCGGATTCTAAAATCCATGGTTTAGGGTTAGTATGGGCTCAAATATCCGTAGGTGCAATCCGTAGGTGCATAGTATGCAGGTGCAATATTCATGGGTTCAAATTACGAGTTCAAATGTACGTGATGGAACCAATGTTTCGATATCAATAGGCCTACATGTCTTCGGAGACGGTGTACGCATTGCCCCCGTCGGATCAGGAACAGACAGTGTATCACCAAGAAGTACACCACAGTCTATAGAATATGCTATGTTATAGCAAGCAAACAACAAGCAATTATTATTCGCTACAACATAACCCAACACTAGATATTTGACGAGCAAACACATAAGAAGGAAACAAACATTTGCGTTGGTGGTCGCGGTCGATTGTAGCATTCGTTAGGGTCGCACCGTTTCATAACGTTCGTTTATGATTTTAGAAAATGACAAGTTTACAGCAAGAAAATACAAGTGTGGTATTACACAAGAGGGACAGAGAAGAAAAACCATTATGTGACATTGTGGTGGTTCGTATTGATTACATATACTGCATTGTAAAATTGCTATTATATACATTGGCGAGAGGAACGTTTTTTGAATTTAATACTGGTACCTTTCCCCGCACAATTAATTGCATTCGTTTGTAAATAAAATGCGCGCCAGCGCCGCTATCCAATATATTGTTTAAAATGATTAACTAAAGCAATATATCCACGTGCATTGATATTTCAAAAACGTCGTCTTCCAAGTGAATTTGTAAAACTACCATTTGTTACGGCGTTTTCGATACTAAAGGTGCTTGTATGCAATAGTATAAATTACAACGAAACGCCATACTTGACTGTACAATTTCCGGCCATCGAAAGCCGCGTATGCTTCAAAACATGCTTATTTCATAGTGCGTGGAATACCTATTGGACTACTTTATTCCGACTGGCTCATGAAAAAGATCATGTACATTTGATGTTAAATATACTTCCATATTATAAGACAACACAATTAGCTTTTGTGTGTGCAACATCAATCCGTTCATTTTGAATATAATTTTTTGTACTGGTTTGTTCATTATGTCTGCATTGCCATAGTCAAATTAAACGCCAGTTCAGAAGAAATTTTTTTCGTTTACAAAATTTGTATTTATTTCTTCTTACAAGCAAATACCAACTGTAATAGACGATATTTGTTATTTGCGTTGAAATGATGCTGCCTAAACTTATTTTAGACATATTTTAGATTTCAGTAAATGATTCTTGAATATTATGATTATTATATCATTTTTTTTTTTCAGGAAAACCTGAAAGTAAGAGAACCTGCTGATAACGGTAACTACATTAAAATTATGATTTAGCAGACGAATTCATTATTCCCATTTCATTTCAATTAGAGATTAATTTACCAGGTTGATCAAGTGTTAACAATAATTTTTCTGAATTATTTCTAGGAATGGTCAACATAAGCATGTAGCCTACAGTAATTAACATGCATCATTTAGTAAAACGTCCATTTTAATGTACTTATAAAATTAGCAATCAAAATTTCAAAGTATGTTGAATATCAAATTCAACGATCACGGTTTCTCTTTTGCAGAGGTCATCGTCAGAATGAATTCAGTAGGAATTTGTGGCTCCGACGTGCACATCTGGATGACCAGTGGGATCGGACATTTCATGATGAATGGTCCTATGGTTGCAGGACACGAAGCTTCAGGGACTATTGAAAAATGTGGAAATAAAGTGAAGCACTTGAAGCCAGGTGAAAACTATGCATGAAAGAAATAGATTTTTTATGTATGAAGCAGATTCGGTCAGTAATTCCCAAACATTGACTTTCAATCCCGTTAAATCAGTCTAGATTGAAATATTGAAACCATCTCATAAGGCCTGATGTAAATGTAACGTAAATTGTATCGAGAATGATCAACAGACAGGTTTTAACAATGACCAAATATTTACGAAGAGGATATTTTGATTTTGGATTTGACAGCCCTTCTGCCACTAAATCCATGTATTACAAAATTGTTATTATGCATATCAAAACTCGCTACAACAAGGGTGCCTCATACAGACGTAATTTTGGTATTTAGCCTAATACGTCGAAGCAGTGCCTCGTTTATTCACCTGTCAAACCAAAATTGAGTCCGCCAGACTTTTGTACCTCTAAAACGTCATAAAATGTTTTATATTACAAGATTAAGACAACTCTTTCATCAGGTCCATGCATCTAGAACGAATAACTGGCTAACTAATCCCATGTCCAAAATGAACTGGTAACCGGACGAGAGGCCGTGGTTCGCCATATGATTAAGACGCTTATCAGATTTCCTCTTCCCAAAATAAATATGTAAATCTTGTCTTATACACATCTATACTACATTTCAGGTGACAGGGTTGCGATTGAACCTGGATATCCTCTGACTGAAGATGAATTCAGTAAATCTGGTCGATACAATTTAAGTGAAGACTTGTTTTTCGGTTCTGCACCTCCCGATAACGGACTGTTGCAACGATATTATACTCACAGGGCGGATTTCTGCTACAAGTAAGCACTGATATTGATGTTGACTTGTTAAAAGCGCTCGTAAAGCATGTCCTTTGGCCAAAAATCGATTTTAAAAAATCGAAAAAGAAATGGTGGGGCACGTGGTACAAGTGGGAAACGTGGGACACAGCATTTTAGAGACACCCTAATCCCGGTACTCATATGGTGTATAGGTAGTCTAATTTAATGTTATCCTTTATCATATATCTTTCAATGCTAATCCTTCAACATATCAATATTGTAAATAATATCATGTAAACGACAAATATTTACCAAGGCTTTTTCAATTTTCGGGTTGATGGGCTCGCCACTTATAATATATATCAGTACTGGACCCTGAAAACAAATTTTTTTTTATACCAGACTTCCAGACAATGTTTCTTTCGAAGAAGGTGCACTTATAGAACCATTGTCAGTAGCTATTCATTCATGTCGCCGAGTTGGAGTGACTCTTGGACATCGAGTTCTGGTGCTAGGTTCTGGTCCAATTGGGCTAGTTAGCTTACTGGTTGCTAAAGCATATGGAGCTGCTTCTGTTATCGTAGTAGGTTGGTAGTTAAATGCTATTGTTAAGCGATCGTATGCCAACCCTCCACAACGAGTTGGGACCACGGTAAAGTCTGTATATGAATGATTCATCGTAAATTTCATTTGAATTAAATACCATGCTTCAAACACAATCGTCGAGCAAAAGATTTACCCGCGAAAAGTTTTAATTGATTTGTTTTGGCTCGGCGGCGTGGCGCATTGTGCTAAGCGTTCGAATACGCTCGCCACCGCACCTCTGATTACCTATACCCTGCGTGGGTGCGCAAGTTCGAGTCCCGCAGAGATAATTATGTGCGAGCAGAATTGGTAGACTTCTCGCCGCTATAGGATGGTTCACGTAATCGCTGGTCGGTTACGACTTCCTCCACCATCAAGTTCGTGCATCATAAACAAATAACAGGCAGACTAATAACCGCCCTAATACTAAACCCAACATGAACTGGTAACCGGGCGAGAGGCCGTGGTTTGCTATATGATTAAGTCGCCTTATCAGCTTCCTTCTGCCCCTGGATAAATATGTAAATCCTATCCTATCGCATACCTATTAAAATATATACCTATATTTTTCATTAACGAATAAATTTGTCTCTAACGGTGAAACGATCCACGAATTTATAACAAAATCACGAATGTAACGAACTACATCTTTACTTCTTTGTAGACATACTTGCAAGTCGCCTTGAGAAAGCAAAGGAACTTGGAGCAAATTTTACATTGGAGGTAAAAACTGGTGAAAAACCTCAAGAGACTGCCAGAAAAATAAAGGAACTTCTAGGAGGAATGCCAGATCGTACTCTTGAATGCACAGGTTCAGAAGCTGGATTGCAAACAGGAATATATGTATGTGAGCTGCTGTAAATTTAATTTTGAAAACAAAATAGAATGCAAGTTAACAACATAAATATAATATGTGAACAAAAAAAAACTTATAATGAACCAATTGCACAGCACGAAATCTTTTATTAATTCTGTAATGATAAAAACTCAATTAAGGCCACCAAATCCGGTGGACGTCTTGCTGTTATTGGAGTCGGAGAAAGCAACAAGACATTGCCAATAGTACATGCTGCAATGAGAGAAGTCGATATCATTGGAATTTTTCGTTATTGCAACACGTGAGTTTTAAAAATGCATAAAGATATTACTTTCCAACTCAAAATTTATTACCAAAAATACTTTCGAGGATTCTATCTTAGCAGCTTTTTAATAAATTTGTATTTTACCAATGACTCACTAGACAAGCATTACGATGACACAGTGATATTTCGTTGTTAAGCCAATATGCTGTTAGGTTGTTATTTTGTAAAGTTGCCTTTAATAGTCATGAATATTTTTATTTCAGATGGCCAGCGGCTATTAACATGCTTGCATCTGGGCAAATCGACGTAAAGTCATTGGTAACTCATAGGTTTCCGATTGAAAAAGCTCAAGAAGCTTTTGAATTCACTCGCGGGGGGAAAGGAATAAAAGTCATGATTAAATGTGAGAAGGACTAGTAAAACATAACACATTTGTTTAATCAAGTTTCGTCATATAAAACGTATAGTTTCAGCAATTATGTATGCAAACCTTGTTGTTGTATATATATATTTTGATTGTGGCATTCGATATGGTTGTATATTTTCTGCTGTGCTTTTTAAATTTTTCGATGATTTTACAACCTGAAAACAATATTCGTGCGTATCAGAGTTACTAAGCGTTGGATTTCGGATTTCTAACGTCTGTGCGAATAAAATATTTTTCTTTTTAATCAGAAATATAGTTTATATTAATGCATGGGTATTTTTAATTCTGTATTCGTCTGTCAAATTAATAAACCATAATCCTTTGCGTATCACTCAAATAAAAAAACTAGATAAAAACAACATCGAGTCGGTTTAACGGTGAATGAAAGCATGTTAGTGATCTATTGAATAACTGCTATCGATAAAATCTACACTCTGTTATATGTTAGGAATCTAATATTTATATATAAGACTGCAAATGCAAACATCCGAGGTTAAATACAAGTAGAGAATAGGTGGTCATTCAGGTTTCCAAAAAGAACTCGAAAGACAAACTTTTGTTTCGACGAATTTGGTTTTTGAATTTTTGTGTTTAACTAACTAGGCTTTCATTAATACAGGAGTGTGAAACATTTGTGCCGATGGGCCCTATGACTAACTTCGGACCTCTTGCTGGGCCACACAAATAATTAGTTTTTCTATGTAAGAATTAAAAAATTAGTGACAACCAGAGCGCCGCGGGAAAAGCGAGAGGAGACTTCCAGTTCCAGTAGTAATAAATATTATAAACTGGGCGAAACAGGAAAAGACAAAAAACAAGAGCAAAAATCATTATGTATTTTTACCCATGTGAGAGCCCGTCTATTCCCAAACTTGATTTTATGCTTGCTGGGGGAAAATCAAAGTGTTGACAAGAGCCACACTAAATGGCTTGGCGGGTATAGGGTTGTGGGCCGCGAGCCGCGAGCCGCCAATTGCACACCCATGCTCTAATATATCTACAACTTGCGAGTGCTTTTCAGATTCCACATTTATTTTCTCACAAACTGTCGCCGTCAACAAGAAGTGCTGTTGATTGATAGAAAAAATAGGGATAAATTTTAACAACTACGTGTCACGTGTCATATAAAAATATATAAAGTTGATTCGGTATGGGTAACTGTTTCTGACTATTTCTCGTTATAGATTGACGAGGTTCTATATTAAGTTTAACTACATTAATAAGATCATTGTCTCTAACACAGTGGAGAAGTGGAGAAACCAAATCAAACACTGGGAAATGTGGCCGTATGCGTTGCCGTAAATTATCAAACTGCTTTCTAGGTCATGGAGTGTATTGGGCGATAGAAAGTGAAAGTCAAAATCATCCGAGTATTGTATTACCACGCGCCAGACAACCGCAGTCAGTCAGCAGAAGGGCATGGAATCTTATACCATTACTATACGTCTTTTGCGTGGGTTTCGTGGGTTTTCACTTCAAACACTTTGCTTTAAAATGGGGAGATATGTACAGAAGCAAACATGAGTTAACGTCTCTTTCAATTGTGTCGACAGGGGCGACACACAAGCGAAACATTTATGAGAACGACGCCGTTGCACACATCTTTACACACATTACACAAAATTAAACAATAAATCGAATGGTAAAATTTATAAACTCATTTTGTCCTTAGAAAACGCACGCCATAAAAACCTCAGATCTTCGGTATTTAAAGCAAATACATGGTATTCAAATTCTGGTTCTAACGAATTTTTACGTGAATTTTATGAATCTATTAACTACAAAGAAACATGTAAAATGTTATAATCTATTTTATATCTGTAGACAATACACAAAATTAAACAGTAAATCAGATGGTAAATTTTATAACTCCACTTTGTCCGTGAAAATGCACGCGACAAACCCCTCATTTTTCTGACATTCAAAACAAAGCAATTTTAGTTGTCATAGCGATAGGCCTATACTAGAAAAAATGAGGTGGTTTTAAAGATCATACAAAAGTTCATTTTTGTTTTCATGAAGCACTTCTTACAGGATGATTCATGTTTATAAAGACATGTAGTAACCTGTGTTCCGTTCTGAGCTAACTTTGCATTTTGTATATTAATTTCGCGATTAGTGTTCAACTTGACCTGAAATAGAATTAAATATATCATTTCTGCAAAATCGAGCTTGGAAAAGTATATATATCTGAAATATTATGTATCTTTAATGTAAGTACGTCAAACTCACTATATGATCTAACCTGCTTCAACAGAAAAGCTACAGACAGCATATGTATTTACAATCTGACTCTTAAAGTATAAAGTGCATGTGGATATTACTCTAAGTCTAAATGGATTGGATTCTCAAAATATTCTTGGTTGTTGGGTTTGGTTATCAAGGCTACGGTAAGTGATGATATAGTAAATATATATACCGTAGGTCAGAATTTGGAAGTCGTTAACTAGAATCTCCTTACGTCCCGAACTGCGTATTTGAAATCTTAATTTTCTACTAAAACGGAATAACCCTAGTCAATGGTGAATTGTTGATTGGCAGTTTTTATCTATAGTATGGAGCTAGAGCTGTCATATTTATTCAAACTAAGATTTAATCAAAGTCGGATTTGAATCCTCTTCACTAAATTTAATTCAAATTCTTTGTTATTTTCAGCATTAACTTGCTATTTCTGCGAAGACACCAATTTTGACGGAGAATCAGATGTCAATGAGACTTGCTTCAAACCTGAAGCATCGACATCTAAGTGCTCATCAACATCCGACTATTGTAGGACAAAATTGACAATAACTGACGGTAATTTAGTCGACAATTGACTGTGATTTAAATTGAAATTATACTTAGCAGCAATAGACTATAAACTCACCAATTAACTCACCTAGAGAAGTTACAGTGACACATCTTCTGTAACAGAAGGCAAGTGTTCTGTAAGAAGGCAAATGATCTTATATATATATATATCTTCTAATTATTAAACCTAAACCAAACACCACCATCTTTGTTCCAGGATAGTTTGATTCTAAAACAGTGTTTCTTAACCTGCGTTTGATCGAACCCCTGGGGTTCGATGAAGCTGTTGCAGGGATTCGACAAAGGTCCTCTGAAAGTGTTATATATCACGACACCTTTCTTTTACCCAGCCTACTAATTTTGTGAAATTACCTATACTGTAGTTTATATATATATACAAACTCACACGTTTAAACTACTCATAATACTGTGTGTAGCTTTGCGCAGATGTAAGTTTTACTGGACCTGTAAGTGTAAATGACTGTTTCACCTTAGATTTTCGTTACACTTCACCGAAAACAAATATCGTCACAGATGTCGTACGCTTTGATGTACTTCATATTATGGCGCTTGTTGATGCTTTCTGCATATTTATGGGCACGAAATATCTTGTTTCAACGTGGGGTTCTAACCTAACAATATTTGCGTGGCCGACCCCCTATTCATAGTCTACTAATGAAAATGTGACTCAAGTTGAGGGACGAGTCGAAGATGTAAAGTAAGTGTACATTAAATGCAGTTTGCATATTAATTAGGAAACGAATGAATTGACTAATTGAGCTACCAACGTTTTAGGCGACATATCATCTTTCGGATTTCCAAAGTTGCAATTTTTGCATAATAAGTTTCTGGCCATATATTGACCTAACCTAAGATATACAAAATCAAAGAAATCACCCACTCAACCTAACAACAAAAAGCTTCAGCTTCCGCCAACACCATTGTGACAAAACAACGCCTATTTCCACTCTGGTATTGGTATCCTAGGTTAGAGTTTCCTATCCTATGGCGACCCAAAATAGTTTTTTTTTCTATAAATTTTATTGTTCATTTATTTTATATTTGTTAGTGAATTGCTGCTCAATAGCAATTAATTGTATGTGTGGTGAGAATTACATTTTGAAATCTTGGCAGCATCTATTTTGCTCAATCACAAAAAAGCATATTTATTTGCTAAATGCCTAACTTACCTAATTGTCACACCCTTACTTATTCGTTAAACGCCTTACTTGATTGCCAAAAAGCATATTTACTTGCTAAATGACGCAACTTACTTAATCTCTAAAATTCATTATTAATCGCTAAATGCCCTAAGTTAACTTACTTTATTGTCATTGTCTTACTTAATGGTAAACGGCATATTTAATTGTAAATGCCTCAACTTAATTAATCGCCACTGCCCTACTTGATCGACAAAAAGCATATTTAGTCGCTGAATGTCTTGCCGTATTCAATCACCACTGCCTTACCTAATCGTCAAAAAGCATAACTATTCGCGAAATGCCTTAACTTACCTAATCACCAATGCCTTACTCAATTGCAATAAAACATATATATTTAATAGCTGAATGATTTAACTTACTTGATCCCCACTGCCTTTTTTAATCGCAATAAAGAATATTTGAACCTCTTGAAGTATGCGCATCAAGATGGCGCACAACCTGAACTCTGGTTGTGTACCAGGTTAGAGTTCAGGTTGTGCGACATCTTCGTGCGCATACTTCAGGAGTACCGAATATTTTATCGCTAAGTGCTTTAACCTACTTAATCGCCACTGCCCTATTAATCGTCAAAAAATATTTTTAATATTTCCATGCCTTCTTATACCTTACCTAATCGCCACTGCCTCATTTAAACTATAAAGTTACGCTATGTTTTTGAAAACTCGCTGAGGGTCACTGTTCAGGTAAAATATTCGCCATGTTAAAATTGCGGCCATAAAACACTGCATGCCGTTTACCATTTGAGCGTATACTCAGGTCGCTTGATTTTACAAAATTTATTTTCTTTCAAATTCGGGTCGCTTAAAAGGTTGGGAACTACTAGATCCTTTCTATAACCTTGTGCGTAGTTAGCTTCTTCTTTATAAAGTTCTGATTGTGCTCTTATTTAAACTGTTCAACATGATGGGGTTCGACGGAGGCTTGCAGAATAGCGCAGGGGTTAGGCAGGCTCGCAAAGGTTTTAAGAACCACTGTTCTAAAATAACCACTGGCAAAATAATTATGTTTTAAATAATTTTAAATTTCAGTCTCATCATGATGTCAATTTTACCCAGAGCTGCAAAATTTGAATTTTAAGACAAAATAACTTTATCTGTTTACGTAGGGGAAAGTGGGGAAGGTTGGGACACTTTTTTTCTTTTGCATATTTTGAGCCGTTAATTCTGCATATTCTCTTAAGTTTGCGGGACTAATGCATAGAGGGGTAAATGTAGTTTTTATTCAGCAACAAAGAAATTCCCTTGCGACACACATCTTACTACCAAAATGCTTTGAAAAACGTCTGTCAAGTGTCCCACTGTACCCCACTTGTGGGGCACAATCGGACAGACCCTGGGGCACAATGGGTCAGTCTGTCAAAATTCAACGAAGTATGCCCTTAAAAATAAGCAATTAATCAGCATAATCGTCTAAAGTACGGGGGGACTTCGAATTTGAAAATTTAATATTTTTAAAATCAATGTTCAACTGAAATTGTCCAGGTATTTTGACAAAACATTTTGCAAAAAAATTTGATTATTTCCTTCCTCGAATCTAAATCTGGAAATATTATTGATTCTCGAATATATTCCATATTGGGCCATGGGTCGAAAGAAACCATAATATTACACAAAATATAACGCATCTCTAAGTCTCTAAGCACTTATTGTATCAAACACTGTCGAATTGTGCCCTGTAGAGCATGTCCCACTGAACCCCGGTCCATTGTTCCCCATAGGAAACAAATATTTTCAGACCATCCCACGGCAAAATTCGGAAGGCACAGCCACTCGCTAACGTTAGGAATATTTTACAGTGGACTGACGCTAAAGAATATCAGACGATGGTTTGTCTCGTTGGAAAGGCTAAACTAAAAAAAAGAAAAAACTGGAACGGTGAAATATTTTTTTCAACCTTCCAAAACCAATTTCACCCCATAGCTTGCGCCGCTCTACCCGTCCGTTGTCCGGTCGCGGGGACGTTGTAACTCACCGGAGGGCGGATTGGAACATCGAGCCGCGGACAGGATTGCGGATATAGTATCAGTGTGATAGCTGATTTTCCACTGTGCCCCATGTCCCAACGTACCCCACCTTCCCCTACAGTTTGATGCTAAAAGATGTTCCTGGTACAAAAAATATAAGCTTCGATTTTAATTTATCCCAGGAAAGGTAAATTTTTCAGATACATTTAACACATTGTTGTTTTTAAAAGGTATTGTGAATGCTATTCATCGTAGCTGTGAAAGCATTTCAACGGTTGTGCCGTCAAATCGGTGCAATGTATCAATCGACACCACGGGAAACCCGACCGTTAAATCGGAATGTCACTTCTCTTGCTTGGAAGATAAATGCAACAATGTGACAACTGGTAAACATCATCTGAGCGCTTTTTGCTATGTGGATCGCATCGATTATGTTTCTATTGATATATATATTCAATATTGGATCTCCGCTTCTAGAGACCCTTATTATCAGTCGTTCTGTCTGTCTGTCTGTCTGTTTGGATTTAGCGTCTTAACGGCTGGACCAATCTGGATGAAATTTTCCATGTGGGTTATCCTGTCACCCTAGTATTATGCATTTCGTAGAAAGCCGGATTGGGTTTCGTTTCCATGGTAACAACGAAAAACACGCTGATCGTTATGAAATTCCATTTTTTTTCACAATTTATCGCTGTTTTCTCGCCAACCAAGTCGAAAATTAAAATTCCAAGAACGCTACTTTCCTCATAGCAAAATATTCTTTCAAATAAGTTATCTTTGGTCTCGATACTCTATAAACTGGAGGAGCCTTAGGGATTTTAGTGAAGATTATTTTTTAATTTTCAACCACAATATACCAGTCACGCGAGTAAGACTACGAAACGCGCAGTGTCCAAATGAACTGGTGTTTTTAGTAGTGTCTCCTATTATCCGTAAAACTGAAATGATGCGGGCCTCGAGTAATGGCGGAGATCCAACTGGGCGCCTACCGGCTTGTTCAAACTATTTCGTACTCTACCAAGACAATTTATTCTAAAATATTCTAATCTCGGTATTCGGTAAATATGATAAAATTTCTTAAATCGAATATTTAGTATTATTGAATAAACCAAATCAGTATTGTGTCTACAAATTATCCTAGATTTTGAAACGTAAATACGATTTTTGTAGCCCATACTAATTTAAAAATAAATTTTCAATTGTTTCTCAAAAGTGAAAATCTTTTATGTCGGACGTATTGTTGCAATTTTCACAACTACCGGCCAAATGTTTTCAATAATTTATACAGGGCCAATATTTAATCTGCAATTTTGCAGATTAGAAACACTCTTCCATTACAGCGTGTTCAAGTGTATTTGTATTCATTTATTTATTTTAGTTTGTGATTCCGATAAAGGCTTCAGGGTCTGGAGTAATAAACGAATTTTGTAAACATTGAGAAAGCGTAGACTGTTTTGAATTTAATATTTTTTATTTTTTGGCAGATTCGTTGAGAAAATGTTCGTCTTCGTGTAACAATCCGGATGGAGGGTCCTGTGATTATATATCAGGAATGTGCGTTTGTTACAGTGGATACACCGGAGAACATTGCAACATTAGTTAGTATTTATCGAGAGACGTTTATAGGGAAACGAGTGACATCGGGCCCGTGCATACCAAATCGTGTCTCCCCCGAAATTTTTTTTCATTATATATAATTGAGTAATCAGTTCAGAATTATATCAGTTCGAAGTTCCCAGACTTGCGAGTCGGAAAATTTAAAGATATTCTATTTTCTCATTTGAACTAAGCTGTTTATGCCTTTGATTAGAGCAGTGGTTCTCAACCTTTTATGGCTCGTGGCCCCCTTCCGACGGCTTTTTGCACTCGTGACCCCCCTGTTCACCATTCCAAAAAATACACGTGTTGAACTGTACTAAAGACAAAAAAAATTGAAACTTTTTAGTAAATAATCATCGGAAATCTTGCGCTTGGGGCTTTTTGACGAGGTTTCTTATGATAGGCACCGTCTTTGATATAGCCTGACAAATTTCACTGTCTAACTCGCTTGACAGCCAAGAAACCGATGTCAACGCCTTCTACCTGCTGGGAGTGATATTTGTCGCGGTGGTTTTGGAGTTTAGATGGACGTAATGATCAATTGCAATCAACGTAACCGTCGTTTAATTTTCGTATTTTGGGCAATAGGACTTTACATTTGGGTTTTTGCGTCTATAATAGGATTCTGAAGGTCGTCTCGCAGACCAGTCCAGCGAAACCGTCCATCTGCAGGTTAGACGGCCTACTCGTGAACTATTTTTATTGGTAGATGTTAAATTCCATTATGATCAAACAATTCACGAACAGAATACACCCTGTGATCGCAATTAAACTATTCAGGTAATAAAACTGCGGTAAACGCTTGAACCGAAATTTTATTTTAAAAAGAAAGTATGCAAACGAAGTCGCTTTATGGTCAACTACTAGCCTTGTGCCGTGGGCCCCCTTGAACTGCTTCGTGGCCCCATTGGAGAGCCCCCGACCTCCGGTTGAAAACCACTGGATTAGAGGTTGGTGATTACCAACAAAGGTGATCAAAAATGGGAGCACTTGAGTAAACATGCATTGTTACCTAAGTGCACTGAGAAGTTATTCTACGTACCTCTTCCGGATAAACGACAATTATGGCATGGCTATGATTTTCGAGATTGTTAGTGGACATTGGTGTGAACGTTACAGAACACAGTTACCGATTTTGTTCTATCATTTGCAGCCCAAGCTTCGACTATAAAACGTAGATGTGTTCAATGTACATCAGCTTCGGGGATGAACTGTGAGGATTTTAACCAGGCCGAGGACTGTCTAAATGGTGAATCCTTTTGCGCTTCAACTCGAACTACTTTGATAGATTCGTGTAAGTAATATTTGTGAAATATGTTTCACAAAAATGAGATATTTTATATTCAAAAGACAACTATATTGAATATTTCCCAATAACCCTTGATCAACATAGAAGTTCATATTGACGTAAGAGGATGGGATTGTGAATATTAGAGCATGGTAGTCATTTGGATCTGAATCATTTAACAGACAAAAAGATAATTGCCATAATTCATGGCATCTTTGTTTTGAATAACGCAAAGAAGAACTCTTATGTTTCATACTGTGTCAATGTTTTTTGGCGGTGGACTTGAATTAAATAACGAACTTGCTTAGCCGAAATCCTTGCTTTTTAAGATTGTGAACATATATATGCAATCGAATCTTCAATTTGTTTAAATAATAACCCCATCACAGTGTATGTAAATCACAGTGCATTTGTTTTCATTTATAAAGTTGACAATATTGTGGGAAAACCGTTGGTAACAAAAGGGTGCACTAATGATTTCATCGTTGCTGATCAATGTTTCTTTACGGACGTCTTTACTGATTCTCCTATCAGCGATGGCGGATTGTATAAGGAATATACTTGTGTGTCAATATGTGACACTGATGGCTGTAACAACTTTTCTGGTATGTGCTATCCAATTCAGTTTAATTAATTGTATACCAAATGTCAGAATATTTGAATTTTAATTGGCATCAAACGAGCAAAAAGTAAATCATAATAAACCATTTTATGATATACCCATCTCCAGGAACAAAAGATAAATGAATGAAATAAGAACTTCCTTCCCCTTGTGAATATGTTACCAGTAAGGAATGGTGGGGCATGGGGAACAGAGGAAAATCAGCTCTCACACTCATGATATATCCAGAATCCGGTCCGCGGTTCGATGTTTGAATCCGCCGACGGGTGAGTTACAACGTCTCCGCAAACGGACAACGGCCGTGCAGAGCGACTCAAGCTATGAGGTGAAATTGGTTTTGGAGGTTAGGAGAAGGTGGGGCATGGGGTACAGTGAAAAATTAGCTCTCACACTCATAATATATCCGGAATCCGGTCCGCGGTTCTATGTTTGAATCCGCCCACGGGTGAGTTACAACGTCTCCGCAAACGGACAACGGCCGTGCAGAGCGACTCAAGCTATGAGGTGAAATTGTTTTTTGGGATTAGGGGAAGGTGGGCCACGGTGGGACATGGGGCACAGTGGAAAATTAGCTCTCACACTCATAATATATCCGGAGTCCGGTCCGCGGTTCTATGTTTGAATCCGCTCTTGGGTGAGTTACAACGTCCCCACAAACGGACAACGGCCGTGCTGAGCGACTCAAGCTTCCCCTACCGCACATCACGATGAAAATATATATATTTATAGCCCATTGATATATTCGCATATATTCATAACCATATATCACTGATCTCCCGTGAAGTTGTTTTTTGGGGGTCGAAACTAAAATTTCACCATTCCTTTTTTTTTCTAATTTAGCCTTCTTATATTGTTCAGCTATAGTCCATTGTAAAATATTTATAACGTTGGCGAGTGAATGTGCCTTCCTAATCTCGCCTTAGGATAGTCTGAAAATATTTGTTTGCCTATGGGGAACAATGACCGGGGATCAGTGGGGCATGCTCCAATGGGTACAATTCGACGGTGATTGATCCATTAACTGCTTAGACCAGAGGCCTAGAGATGCGTTATGTTTTAGGTAATATTAGAGTATCTTTTTGCCCATGGCCCAATATGAAATATATTCGAGAATCAAAAATATTCTCAGATTCAGATTCGAAAAACAAATAACTTAATTTGTTTACGTAATTTTTTGCAAAAATATCTGAATATTTTTGTTGATTTCCAAATTTGAAGATCTCCCGTTTTTTAGATGATTAGGCTGATTTCTTCTTATTTTGAGAGCATACTACGTTGAATTTAACGGGATGCCCCATGGTGTCCCAGTCTCTGTCCCAATGTGCCCCACAAGTAGGGTACAGGGGGACACTTGACAAACGTTTTTTAAAGCATTTGGGTGGTAAGATGTGTGTCGTCGGAATTTCTTCGTCGCTGAATAAAAATTACATTTACCCCGCTATGCATTTGTCCCGCAAAGTAAAGAGATTATACAGAATAAAGGGCGCACAATATGCAAAAGATAAAAAGTGTCGCAACCTTCCTCACTTTCCCCTACCAAACATCACGATGAAAATATATATATTTATTTTAATATATATATTTATATTTATAGCCCATTGATATATTCGCGTATATTCATATAACCACATATATATCGTTGATCCCCCGTTGTGTGAAGTTCAAAAAGTACATCTACTTTTTGTTGCAAGTAGGCTATTATGTTTTTTTCATTACAAAAATGAAACTTGGGCTTCTTTGTTAAACGTTCATAAATTTATAAGTTCCCTTTGATAGATAATTCTATATTGGATTACTTCCGGCCACATAAATCAATGTACAACTGTACAATTATCGTTTAATGTTTATGTACATTACTTCAATTTAGCTGATGGACAAAAATATACCAACAAGACTGCCCCAATTCAATGCTTCGTATGTAGGGATCTCACTGGTTCAGGTCAATGTAACCCAGGAAGCTTAAGCGACGAAAAAAGAACAGTTTGTCCCAAGTCAACACTTTGCAAATCTACTGTAACCTATCTAGTATCTAGCAAAACCGATGTATCATATTATACCGGTACGTAATTTGTTTGAATTTATTCTTTTTTTAACGTAACTTCAAAAGAAAGTGCTAGGATATCGTATATTGAACTGCCCTTACTTTCTTCTTGTCTACTTTATACCTCGGAGTCGTATAATATATGTCCGTAGCAACAAGAATACTTGAAAGAGACAGTATCGAAGCTTAGCTGTCTGAATAAGTCATATCTTATTTTGTCAGAAGAAGCTAAAGATATTCAAATTAAAAAAAAATTGTAATTATCCAGTTAGGGTTAAGACCGTTAAGGTAAAGAATAAAGATTGCGCTGGAAATTCAAATTTCCGAATCATTACCGACTCCTAGTATTTTATTTTAAAACATGGCGTGAGTATTTTCTCAAATCTCACATTTTTTTGCATAGGTGGCGAGGGAATTCTACAAAATATCTGAAGTTAGACTATAGTCTATCGAAAGCTAATTAATAAACCTACTATTTCGTAGAATGAGATTATGGTATTTCTATTTATAACTTATCAGGAAGATGGTGCGCATTTGGAGTAAAATGATAAGCGATTACCATTCAGTCTAAACACGATTAGCAGACGATTTTGTTATTGTGAATAACATGAAACCTGAATTATTAACAGAACCAAGCTACACATTACGAAGTGTCATCAGAGAATGTGCCCTAGCAGAAGAAACGATTCCGCATTCTAATTGTACGCCAGGCGAGATTAGGGGATTAAGTTTGAAAAAAGTAAATTGTGTTGAAACTTGTGACGTTGATGGATGCAATGACAAATGGCGTAAGTGGTATTGGAGTGAGTCTCGAAACAAGTCAAAAAAAATATCTTTCATCAAACCATTTTTATTTAGCTGGAAGGAAAAAGTGTATTCAATGCTCTTCTGACGGTAATCTTGAAGGATTTTCCAAATGTCTTTTAACTCCACCCACAGCAACAGCATGCGCTTATCCATATCAAAAGTATTGTACTATACAAGACATGGGAATGACAAACACTAGCGAAGGTACAACAATTGCGTGTTCTTCCTTTCGAGATTCGTAAATTCTGTATTCAATTCTAGTATAAAAATGATACCAAATTACGACCAAATAGCAATAAATAAATGCTCAATATAGCTCAGTAAGTTGAATAAACGAACTGGATGAATTTTTTGTGATACTAGCTATCTAGGTTTAGTCTAGCCCTGGAAAGAGCAATTTGTATATACATATATTTTTTCTGTTTAATTTTGTTTTTTGGTGTTTTTCTTGACACATTTGTGACACAAAAGGTTTGGTAGGAATTCCCGGTTATCCGACTCGGATTTTACGTGGTTGCTCGGCTATCAACATAACAAATAAGTGTACAAATCAGACTATTCGAGGAAACCAAATTGACTACTGCAATTGGACTTGCGATGATACGGATGGATGTAATATCGGTGAGTATTGCTACACGAATGGTGTTTCTATTTATTAATTTCAAAGATCGGTAAAACATAATTTCATTTTTTTAGTTCATTATTATAATAATTTATGTAATAATTAGTACTTTACTTTTTCATCTTACTGAAAATACACGTATATGTGCGAGCAAAATATATAATCAAGAAATGTTGAATTGAATTTCCTGAAATCTCCGATGCTAATGCTAATTGCACAATCACACACGTGACTACCAATGAGTCTTAGTATGATTAATTTGATTTTTCGACGTTGATATATATTTGCAGCTTTGAATAAATAATATCTAATTTGTTCAAACAAATAATGTTAGCAAAATTTAGCTTCTGAGATATTTTTTTACCGTGCGTTCTCACTTGTTGTTTGCAGGCTTTACGCGGCAGTTTACGCGGAAGTTTACGCAGCAGACTTCAGGCGTGGCAGTTATTCACTCCAGTTTAGATGTAGTTATGCTTGCGATACTCGGAGTCATTGGAGTTATGTAATAGGCTATGATACACCTACCGGCATCGTTGAAAAAGAACTACATTACTAGAAATCACTATTCCTTACAGAGAAATAATTCATTCTCAGTGTAAATAAAACAGGAATTGCTAATAGATGAATTTCGCTTGATAATTTTACATTGTCGTTGACACACACTCTACAGTTCCATACAAAAAGTTTGTTTGCCCACTTTTTTATTTCATATCTCAAATTTGAAGCATTTTATAAAATGGTCATTTTTGAACCATTACCAAAGTTACGCAAAAATTTCTATAACAATTTTATTTAGTTTGTAAATATATGGCTATATTTTTTCGATGGAATTAGTTTTTAAATTTTTTATCTAGCTACAATTAAAAGCATGTTCAATATTGCTGCAAACCTTGGGTCTTTCTTTTACTTTGCAAATAGTTCTTATAGGATAGTGACTGATTGATGAATAGAGTCTCCACCCATGCTGATGCAGTTTGTATAACCGCGTAATGAAGATTATATATAGTCAATTTTATTTTAAATTTGATGTATACATATCTATTATTATGAACGCTTATTCTTGTACAACTCCTTACAAGTTTACTCATGCTTGCAGTTTTGTCACACTCGGTATTTTGTATTGTAGGCTACTTTCAGTTGGAGAACAAATACTTCAACTTTCACTACTGTACACGTCCATATAGTCATCCTATTATTACTCCCCTAATCGATTAAATTTGAATCCGTACGAATATCATCGTGAATTTTTTGATTGATCAGCTGCGCATGAACATCACGAACCTTATTCGTCGATAAAAAAGTACAAAGTTGTCACTAGAAAGTGCCAAGGAATAGTCTATTTATCTTCAATTCCTAAGATCCCCACTACAACGCTGTTTGTAACTTATACTACTACAGTGTATGCTATTGCCAAAAAAACAGGAGATGATATCATTGGTACCACTGTGCTGTATAATCTTCGGTTTTCAGAATAGTGGACCTCACTAATCATTTGCAAACTTAATGCACACGTCAGAACGTCACCAAATTAATCTATTTAGTAAAGCTGTTCCGCATGACGAATAAGATACGAGTAGCTCTTGTTGCGACCAAAATGACTATAACCCTTGTAGCCTCTGGTTGTGATAAACCAGGACTTCGCAGCAATACCCCACTTTGAACAGGTCAGTTTCAGTTCTCCCTTGACCATGGTTAAATTTTCGGAAGGTCACAATGAAGCTATAGGTGTCCGAAATTCCAGTCGGCAGGTCAGCGAGAGATGATGGGCAGGATCTTCATTATTCCTATTCACCTGGAGAGTAGCCGATGAGACGACTCAATTCCGGGTATGAGATTAGTTAGCAAGTTATTTGTTTCTGGTGCATGAACTTTAATGGAGGAAGCCGGCTAACAACTTCTTTTAATAATTAATATGAGATTATGTTCTGTTGAATGAATAATGCATAACTTGAAAACGAAAACAGGGGAACAAATCAAAGAGAGTCGACGAGGTAAGAATTCTATCCAACTACGGTAGTCACACCCCGCTTGTAAAAGAAGTATAATTTTATTATTAATAACATAAACGTTAACGAATTTCATAATAGAATGAAGATTACTTGAAAACAGCATACAATGTAATGATAGAATCTCAAAGTAGTCAGTCATTGCCTCAAAATATTGAGTCAATTTAAATGATCAAGTCCATCGGACAAACACTGTTACAAATGGTTACATATTATGTGACGCAATCAAGGAAGTACATAACTAAATTTTCCCACTGAAAATATAGCAGATCGCAAAGTATAGCCATAGGCCGCATTTTCGCATTCCAATCACAACACACTGGACAAGACAATTCACGCTTGAGAAAATAAATTTCACTTTTCTGCCCATGGGCATGATGAACAATCCCACAAAAAAAAACAAGCTACACCTAAAACTTGACAAAAATTCATTTCTATTCATCAAAATCAGACGCTTTCACAAGACAATAGGCTGTACCACCTGAAGTTGTATCAGTTCCAGCAACAATGTAGTAATCTTCATCACCAACTCTCACAATTGTTCTATTGCCTTCCTCATCCAACACCATTTCACTGCAGTTAACTTCAACACATTGATCGTTAGTAGTTTGTTCGCTTCCTGCTTGACCAACATCCATAACTCCATTTGCATTCATGTGGTGTTTCTCATTCGGGCTTTCTCCAACAACAGGTAAAGGAGGTTCAATGTCAATAGCTTGATCTAATTCCACATTTTGGTTCATCTTTTCTGGGGTTTTCAGTGGAGCAGTTTCATCATTTAGAAAAGCAGGTAACTTGGTTGAGACGGTAGTTGTTTCTAAGTCCATGGTGTTCTGTCCTGGATTAATGTTTGCTGTTATAAATGTCTGATTCTCCAGAAGGGCAGAAAAATCAGTTTCTCTTCCTAACGTATCAAAACAAGAATTTTCTGTTGGGTCAATTAGAGTTGAGTTCAGGCAATTTTTGTGGTGATTTGGAAACACTGGATTGTTAATAATAGGTACAAGATCAACAGAACATTCCTTGAGGCTCGCAAAATCAATATTTTCTTTATTCAAATCTTGTCCATTACGATCTGGTAATAGAGAAAATAAGTTTTCAAATGAAGACAACATAATAACAAGTATTTAAAAGGTTTTGAAAGGCCCAGAATCACAACACCATTTAGCAATGGACATTTGGGTGTAATACTTGAAATAAAACACAACCAATGACCAACCTTGTGACAGCAAGAAGTCCATGGGATAGAACTTGCAATGGTAAAAAGGAGAATTCTCCAGAAAAACTTTCGAATTATTCTTAAAATTGAGATCTTACTATTTCAAATACATCCTGATTTAAGATAAAAAGTAGGAGTAACGAATACTAAATGTTATACTAACTTTCTGAGGTATTCATTTTTAATCTTTTCTTAGCTTTAACAAATCTTCTCTTAGTTGGACTTGGTGTCATGGGTGATTTCTTGGAACTACTTCTGGTTGTGACTAAAAACAAAACCCGATTGATTCTCATAATAGACATAGGTTACAAGTTACACTAGACAAAAATACATAAGCTGACATTGAAGAGTTAAAAACAAAACAGGAACAATTTAAATCCTGACAAAAAACTTCGTATTGAAACCAATTGCTAATGCTGTTTATTTAAAATGATGGTGGTGGATATCTCGTGCTAGATCAGATTGCCATCCATAAATCAGGCTACTCAACTTTTTTTTATCGAAGTTCTGCATACAAAACTTCAAAAATATTTGGGTCCGGACTTTCCAGAAATTATATTTTGGCATCCTCAAACATGCAATTCCTCGGCCGAATAATGATTATAAGATAATCAAGATTGTTTGTTATGGCGTTATAATTCTTTTCATATATATTTTTAAATCTATATAGGTGATTTTATAAAAGGAAAATTCAAAAGTGGGGCTAATGATCCAAAATAAAGAATTATGCGGGGTCCGGTCCGGATACCCGAAAGATCCGGATTCGGACCGCCAGTTGAGTAGCCCTGCCATAGATGACGAACAATGAAAAAATGGTCACGACTTGTGATAACAATTTAAATCTGCTCAGTTTTTGGATATATAATCTGCTGACTACCCCACCCCCCCCCCTCTCAAGTTGTTTCCAAGGCTATTCGACTGGAAAATCATTGATAAAACTGATTGTAAATCATAAATGCAAGTGTATTTAGAATAAGTCTACATTCTTCTCAAACTCTAAAAATCCTTACAAACTCAAACACCTTCATTACTAAACTGACTCTTTACGAAAAAAAAAACATTTTCTCTGTATCCTAAGCAACACCTGTGCTCCAACAAGTAATCCATCCAAGTTTTGATTCAACGAAGTAAACGAGAAAATCGATGATTTATCAGAACATTCCCTGTCACACCAGTCTAACAATAATTCTCTTGGATCTGACTGATCAACTCTGTCACTAACTAAATGACTTTTGCTTTCTAACTCTTCCGCAGATACTATTTGGGACAGATTGCTTTCAGGTGTGGTAGATTGTGAAGGTTCGTTGTTAAAGAAGGGAGAGATACCACACCCAAGCGGGGGATTTGATACACAGGTTGTGCGACCATATCTAGCGAATGGTTTGTGGGCGTATCGATATATTTTTGATGATTTTATGATGCTAACTCTCGCTGAATCTTTGAAGACGTCTGAAATTTATAATTAATGTTAACCACTACAATTTGCTGAGCATAAGCTTATATCTACGAAAAATAATACATGCTTCTTCTGGAATACAGATAGTGGTAACCAGCATAACTAACTAAATATTATATTTAAAACATATCAAAAGATAATCAAAAAACACATCACCTCCAACATTCCTCACAGTAAAGCTTCTATTAGGCGTGGATTCAATTTCCTCTATATCTGAAAACAAGTTTAAAAGCAAAACTATTTGTTAAAAACAAAACTGTAGAGATGGAATCATATTTTCAAACTATAAGAAGTCTGGAACCAAAGTTGAATCGGGAATTCAGTCTACTAATGGTTATAACCAAAGTCGAAATTTTGAAAATTCAAAATTAAGTTAAATTGGTGTTTTAGCAGTCAATTAAAGAACACTTAATATTAATAAGACAAGTTTTCATGATCAAAATTTTGTTCCCGAGTTCCGAGCAGGTGAGCCAAAATTTCTGTCAAGGGATTGAGAGATGATTGAACATTTTCCAGATCTCACAGCCATGGCTAAAAACCATTGGACCCAGCTAGGAATCCCAAATTTTAAATTTAATCCATTGAATATGAAAAAATTAGTAAAAGGCTAGAACAACTTAAATTAACAATTTGAAAATTTTTATTTGGAAGCAAACTATGAATGTGAAATGAACTAAATGTATATCAAAATATGATACAATCATCACTTTACATTATTCTAACCTGATGCAACAATTTTGTCCTCATCATTAGTTACCAATTTTAAATCACTTTCACTTCCTTCGAGATAAGAATTAATATAAATATCGTCATGCTCTTCATCTGAATCTCGAACTTTTCTCTTCGTTTTTCTAGGAAAGTATTTTTCAGTTTTATATTTGTATGATGTAGTACTGCAAGCAAAATGAAAGCATTTTGCCATCGAGACATGAATTTCCAAAAATCGTTTTCAAACACGGTTAAATTAAAAGTAAACAATGTTTCGTCAAATTTTGATTTCACTTTCGTTCGCGAGTGCAGAATCGATGGTGTGGCTCGAAATGAGTAAACACTTTGCGAAATGGCTTTCTAAATGAGACTGCGTTTGGGTATTAATTATGGTTTTATTTACATAATTCTCAATTTCCTGACGTATCTGGAAATGAATGCGTAAATTAAGTGAAATGGTGACAATTTCCACCGCGCAAGAATGTCCCAACAATAAGCATTGCGCACAGAAGATAACATACAATAAAAGTGTCGTCATTATCATAACAACACACGATTAAGCGCAGAAATTTGTTTGATTTCCCTTAAAAACGAACAAAATCCGGCAAAAAGTGGCCATTATTCAGAATTATTCTGAAACTGGCTAAAAAGGTATTCGAATACTTCGATATTCGATTGTTTTGGACAACCCTAGCTTTTCCCAATAAAAAAGTTTGTCAAAAATACACACTGAATATGAATGTCCACATCTGGATAAGTTTACTAAATACCAGATTCAGCAAGCTATGCTTCCTAATCCTTCCAAACCTGTGCAGTAAAACTCTTACTTTTTCTTTGAAGAAAGAGTTTTCATATGGCACAGTGTATCAGCAGCTTCCAAACATTCATCAGAGTTGATATAAAGATCAGGCATAGCCTCCAACGATAATGAAGGTTTATTTGGTTGACTCACAGTAGAAGTTTTCTTAGCAGATCCACTTTTTCTGGGAGATTTTCTGGTGGCTAGAACAAGTATACACAACAACCATCATTCAGTAATGGACAATCAATTTTTGAACATTATGTTTTATAATCTTGATATCAATTTCTTAAGGCCAGAAGCTAATCAAAATTACAGCTCAACAAAACTGATCATAGATATATTGAAATAAATAAATTGAATATCCTATCATGATAACCTCAAATCTCTCTAATATCATGATCAGAGCTTAGGATTCAAGCTAAAATTTACAATCCCCCCAACTCTGGTACTTTAACTTCTGAAAGCAAGCCTTGATATGGAGCTTGTGGACAAAATTTAATGTTGATTTGTCTTGTAAATACATCTCCATGTATTTTTTTAAATCTTCACACATCTTCTGTTTCGAGGCATTAAAATCAAACTCAAATGAAGAGTACCTTGCTTCTTGGTCTTTCTGTTTTTCTTCGTTTCAGTACTTTTTACTATTGGTTCATTTATGATTGTCCTTTTTGCTTTTGTGATCCTAATATGATAGAAAAATCACTATCATTTCAAAAGTAAAAACCTTTGCAAAATTATGAAATTTGGATTGAGTAACCCATCATCCTCAGACACAGTTATATTCCGAACCTACCTAGCAGGTGCAGTACTAGAACTTGGTGTAATATGAGCTAGTTCACTTGAATCAATTTCATCCTCAATTCCTGATTTTGATGATGACATTCTTTGTTCAGTGAGTTCAATCGATTCATAGCGAAAAACTTGAAGCCTGAATAAGCCATCTTCACACTCTTTGTACCTGCGTATAAGAAGGAATCTGCTAGCTTGGTTTGATTACTACATATCAGAGTTCTAAAAGACTTCAAACGTGCGGTACTGAAACTCTGATGATGTGTACCCAATTCCTCACAAAATTTAAGCCTATTGAGGGCTCAGATCAATTTCATGAATAAACCATCTATGTCAATTTGAAAAAAAGAGGGATGATAACATTACATTGAAATGTTCGATTTTTACAATAAATGATAATAACAAGACAATATTTCACCAATTTTCTATAAAATACAATGAAGCAATAACATGAATCAAAATGGACAAGAATTACTAACCTGAATCTACAATGCCCAGGCGGCCATTGAAAATTATGAACTTTTCTTAAATGTGGTGTTAATTGATATCCGGTCCCATATCTTTTATCACATAGATGACAAGCATATAGTTTACCATCACCAGCCTGGAAAAGTGAAAGCGAACTTGTTTAACCTTGGTGGTCAATGCACAACAGATTGAAACTACTATTAATGAGATTGGCTTGGTGGACATGTGAAACATAATAAGTATTGGAGTCTATCTATTTAAAATATTATAATATACACATACAATTTTATGTTCACTGTAAATTGTATATGGTGCGAGCTCGCTGAAATGACATCTCATTATGCAAAGAAGAAAAAATAGTCCAGTGACAGCTATTCTCGTTTTGAAATCACCAAAACGTGAGACACTAATACGATAATTTTACAAATAAAATTAAACTTACTCCATGCTTGACCCTGTAATGATATCTTAAACTTTGTGCTGATCTGACAATATAATCACAACCTTCATATTGACATTGATAAGACAAATCACTTTGGTGGAATTGCATATGAATTTGAAGATCGTGCGGTTCTTTTGATCTAAACGAGGAAATTTTTAACATTCGATATTGTTATAGATAAACAAAAAACTGTTGGATCAAGAATTTTTTTTTTCTAATTGATGAAATTTTGATATACAATTGGGTACCCAAACTTGCGTGAAATAAAAAAATTTCAGGGTTTGTGAACATTTCCATGATTTATCTATTCATTTTTTATATTCCTTTGAGGGGCTGGCTCAGTTAGATAAGCTGTACTTTTTCTTCATATTGAAGTGTTATTATACTTTCGCATGTCCAATTTAATTCTTTATTTAGGTTAAAATGTTTTCATTTATTCATTTAATGAATACTGTTTTGCCCCCCCTTGCGTGGTACATGAAACAAAATTCAACAGAGTTTGTTCTGTACTAAACCTATATTCATAACTTCAAGTCATGAACCTGAAACATAATTTCCTATCACAGTTCTGAACAGGCATCCAATACAATTTTGTTACAATATCTTACCTATATTCACAGAATTCACAAGCATATGGTCGATCGTTAGAATGTTTGTATCTCATATGATGTTTCAATGCAGATGGGTTAGGGCAAGTCATTGCACATTTGGGACACTGGTAGTGATTCACTGTCAAAAATGAAAAAGCTTGAAATCTTCGTGTGAATAAATAAAACAAGTATAAAGGCAGGTTTAGGTATACTGCTCAGTGATGGAGATTAAAACCTCTGCAGGAGAAAAGATGGTTGGATTTTTCATAGTTATTATCCTGTAGATCTTTTAGGTGAGGTTAAATTGCTGTTAAACAGGAGTGCCAACAGCACATCTACTGGAACAAATAGATAGCAGATATGTTCACCACTGTCAAATACTTACCATGGTGTCTCATATGATCTTTTAATATTCTTTCTGAAGCAAATGTTCTAGAGCAGTGAGTACATTGGAAAGTATGATCTGAAAAAGAATTGAAATTTATGAATTATCAGTGTTTACATTGAGCATAAAGTCGAAATATATATTCGTAACCTATTACACACCGCGACGAAATGGAAGCTCCAATTGCCAAAGCCCCATACAACTGGAGCCTTGTTTTAGGCAGACACGAATGAATAATATGCGATACTTACTTTCTATACTAGTTTGACGAGTAAAATGATCAATAAGTTTTGTTAAATTCACATAAAGATTTCCACACCATGGACATGCATAACTTCTCTCCTGTGTATGTGTGCTCATGTGTAAACGTAACTTATGTCGACCATGTGATAAACGTCTCTTATCTTGATAACGATATGTGTAATTGCAACCTAGAAAAAGACATTAGAGTTTAATCGTCATCTTAACAGAGAGAAATAAAATGGGTTCAATTTTGACAACCCTTTTTTGAAAATCCTGACTGCACCCCTGGTTCCACGCCCCATGATTTTACCCAAGACTGCTTCAGTGTTAACTGTTCCCTCTGATTCAGAAATTTAAAAAAGTTTTTATACCTTTCCAATGGCATTTAAAACCCTTTTCATCATTCCCAATATCTTCCACTTCAGAAATAATAGCATGTTCTCTGATATGATCATAAAATTTATCTGGTATATCGAGGATCTGAAAACATAGTGATATCCAATCGGAAGCATAGGCCATAATTATATATTTTGTCAATAAAATTAGCCGCGCAATTGTGGCTAAAAACATTAGAATCGACTATGATGGCGCTGCATGATGAAATCTCGAGTTCAAATCCCATGCCCTCCACCTCACCCAAGGTGTGATAGATTGAGTCTGGTCCTTCCAAACTATATTAACAATAGTTCCTTACCAGCAGTGGCTGATTGTACAGACAGAGCCTTCTTCAGAGCAAAATGCATCAAAATTTACTAACTTAATATGACAGCACAATTTGTTAATAAAACTAAACTAATTTTCAATCCACTTACTGCATAGCAATCCTCCCAGCAGCATTTGAATCCGTCAGGCAATTCCGGAATAACATTGGGATTTTGAGCAACTTGACACTCACATGTATTTGCTTCCAAGTGTTTTAAATATCCTCGCCATTTTAACTGAAAAAAATAAATATGGATGTTATATTTATGTTACCATCAAAATCTCTAAGCTGTTAAAACCGTTTTTGCATCACAGGTTTGGCATCTCTGGTTAAAATCCCATGCCCACAATCTCACCCAGGGTGCAAGAAATTGGGTTACTAATGACGAACCGGCAAGATTCAACTTTTTACAGAAATAGTATTTCTTGGCATATCGTTAGATTCTTAGATATTGGTAGATCGTTATTGTGTTATGCATAATATATTGAATATAGGATTTTGATGTTTACCCAAACAAAAAGCTAACCTACTTATCCGGTAACCATGCAGCAAGCAAAACTTTCATCTAAATAGCAATCCAAAAGAAATACCAATTACCAGAATATACCTAAGACGCCACACCGCCAGCCCTGGCCCAACACAGCTACCCAAGACTTGTGTCAAACACAATTATACCTAATGGGCGATGGCATACAAACAGGACTTCCCTCTTAGAACAGTGGTCCCCTGTTGGGAATGGCTGGCTTAGAAGGTTAATTAGCGATGTGGAGGAGACTATAAACTTACGGTACAACATTTAAACTGCTACCAATCCTACCAGCCTAGCATGTGAGAAGATTTGAAAGTGATCTAGCAAACATATCATAATTACCTTGGTATGAAAGCCATGGAAATAAATATGTCGAATAAGATCATGTCCATCCGTTGTTGTAAAATTACATTCATTCCAGTGACAAATAACTGTTGTTCCAGCTGTAAAAGAATTTTAGCATGTTATGTTAATATGAGGCACTTTGCACCTTCAAACTAAACAAATTTATAGAGGATATTGGATCTACAAAGGTACCGGTACTTTAGACCAGTGATTTTCAACCTTTTTAGAACCGCAGAACACTTTTTATAACATAAATTTGTAGCAAAACACCGAATGAAAACTTCGTAAGATTTTTTCGTAAATTCACAATCCAATTATAGTCAATAATTATGACATAACAAATACATTTCAATGCATCATTGAGAATAAATCCGCTACTATGGCAGGAATTCTGCACATACAAACGCACAATTCTCCAACGACTCTCAATTTATTAGCATGGGCAAACCGTCCTACCAGTAAATAAATTGCTATTATAATGTCATAAAACGTCAAAATGAGGTTCTAGGTTTATAAGTTGCACTGTTGCTTCATATCACATTTTGGATGTGATATTTAGCCCATATATAATATATATCAGGGGTGGCCAACCTGTCTTCAACTGAGATAGACTAAAATCTTCTTAATATCGTGTGACCTATTACTAATATAGTCACACAAAATGAATTAGTACACATGTTTGGCACCTATGAGGCTAGCAATTAGGGTACTTACGTTGCAATGGCACTGCGGCAATATCTTTCCAGAAATGATCTTCTAAATGTTGATAAAATTCTTCCATGTCATCAAAAGTACTTGTACATGTTGACCATTCACATTGTACTTTCAGTTCTTTAATCCTTTGATATGACATGGTCAGGCCACTCTCCACACCGCTTTTACCACATAAAACAAGCTACAGTATGGCCATATTTTTCTAGAATATAAAAAATACAACACAACATAATTTGCAACATTGATTAAAAAGGAGACCAGTAAATTAGAACGAATATTGACAAGCATGATTAAATTTATAAATATTTAAAAACAATATGGCATCAAAATATAGTTCAAAGCTGCACTTTGATAATTTATTTAGTATTACTATCAGACGGTAAGATAAAGTTTAAATATATTCTGAACAATCCTATCTTAACCAGACAAAGAGTATAATATTATCCTGTAATCTTGTTAAAAATCATTTTTTCAATATATGAATAGTACAGTTCAAGGGACTGCAAGCAGTCAAGATCATTTTGACATTTGAATATAAATAATTACAATGTAAGTATTGCTCTTTTGTGATAAGTTATTTCGCGCAGCAAAACATTGGCATGGATCACAAATAAAAAAAAATTACCATACAATATACAACAGCATTGAAAAGCAAAATACCGGACAATTTCGATAATATTTTACAAATTCTTTGTAACATCTATAACAGTTGAAACACTAGATGATTGTTGCGCATTTGATGTACGAATTTTGTGCGATTCAAGTAAACAGTGACGAACAGAAGACGGATAATCAGGATAAAATGAGTTACACAGTGTACAGGTATAGCCAGATATTGGTTTAATAAAATCTAAACCAGGTATGACAGAATCGTTTGCATATGTTACCACCGACATGCCATGATCGATTTCCATTTGAGCTGATTCGCCGATTGAATTCGCATTTTCGGCAGAACGCTCATTATAGACCACTATACTTGTTTCAGTATCTGTGACCAATTCATTTTGTTTCTTGCGATCAGAGGCTGAATTTGAAAACGCTTCATTATTATCTACAACTTCTTCTTTAATGGTAATATGTTCATTTGTCTCGCCAGATTTATTTCTCGCAAACTCGCTTACGGTGTTTTCAACATGCAAGCTTGGATCAATTTCTGATAGCAATGATTCTTCTTTACTGATTTCATTAATTGGAGGTTCCTCTCCATGGTTAGGGGTAGTCTTATCGATGGAAGATTGCTCACAAATCATTAAATCAGTGGTGACATTTCCTGGTAGAATTTCCTTAGCTGGGGTCAAAGGAAGACGCCCAGAAAGATCCCCTCCACAAAACGAAGATGGAAACTCTATGTGATTGGCAATATGACGTTTCAATGCATGATCATGGAAAATTCTCTTTTTACAAATAGGACAGTGGTAATGGGGTCTTGATTGTTTTCTAGTACCGTGATCAAGTTTACATCTTAGACAGATTATATTGTCATCCGTGATAATGGCACGCACTCTATGTATTTCATTGAAATGTCGATGCTGATGACTCGGAGAATATACTTTAATATTTTTACAAAGTAAGCAATGTAGGTGTTTTTTATATCGGTCACAAGAATTGTCCGTACAATTTCGAAAACGGATAAGAAATTCATTTGTCGATATATCACTTACTGATATGTTGGAATGAACTTCGACTAATTGAAACCACGGTTCGTTACCAATTTCAGATCGATCTCCTCTTTTTGGACCTGATTCTTCATTTAATATTGTTGAATCTGAGGTAGTGTTGCATAAATTATCAGTTTCAGATTGAATTGAATTTATTTGAATACTAGAGCTATGAGCATCCTTATCCAAAGTCGAGTCCTTGATAAGATCACGAGATTTTTCAGAATTAAAATGGTGAGCTGAACTGAAATGATCAAGACTACTACATCTATCAATCACTTTACAACACATAAGACACACAACTTGTGGATCGCTATTCAGAGAATTCGGATTCATTTCATTTTCCTTTGCTTTTTGTCGCTTTGGATGAGTTGCCAAATGATGCTTGAATCTTATTCGATCATTGCTTGTTTTCCCACATATAGGGCAGTGATAATGAGGTTTCTTGTATTTCTCACTATCGTCATGAGTTAGTTTACATTTCAAACATAATATACCATCTTGCGTTGTGACAGCTGAAAGTCTGTGTATAAAAGTATAATGACGTTTTTGATGGCCGTGTGTGTCCACAACTGATGGACAGAGCATACAATGCCTATGTTTATCATCTACAACACAAACGTCATTTTCATTGCACTCGGCAAACCGGTTAGAGAAATTGGTTGTATAGGTAGAGAATGCAGATCTTTCCATTAACATTTCCTGGAACCATGGTTTTGTAATATCTATTTTATTATTCATTCTGAAATTAAAGAAAAGCAAAAAGAAAATTAATGCAGTTACACATTTTATAAGTTCGTTAAACAATAAACTTATAAATGTATTATTGTACTTAATGATATTAATATTGAAACTGTTTCAATGAACATCACATCTACAAAAGAAAATGATTAATGAAGCTGAATTACCGTAATACCTGGGCATAATGAGATAAGCCTGTAGGTGCATTTAAGTATTGTTTCTATATCCAATAGATATACCTGAGATAAAAAATTAGAAATAAAAAGGTAGCCTTATTGAAAAGAAAAAGTAATTCGAATCATCAGTAGTTACTTTGAAATACTCTTAGATTCGGCAGCTCTGGAAATTCTGTAAACAGCATGAAGATTAAAAAAATAAAGTACCTATTGTGGGGAAATCAAGCTCAACAACTCCAGTGAATCGTACTATAAATACTGGACACTCTGACATCGAAGAATATATTTTACACAACTATAAAATTACACATCAGATGATAGTTGCTATAAGGAATCAAAATCAAACAAATTTCAAAGCACATGGTAAAGAAATTACAGATTACAATAAAAGATTTTTTTTCAAATATAGACAACATTGTACCAGTGTTGAAAATGACATGCAGTGCGATTATCTGAAATCAATTGTATGTAATAATTAGCATTATTGATAAGTTGAACAAGATACGTAATTACCGGTACTTATGCTAGCTTCATTGTATAAAATAGTGAAAGCGAACATATAATTAATAATTTCTTAAAAAAATGTATTGTAACTTGTAAGTAAATGTATTGATGATATGATCACGTCAATGTTTCTGTCGCATAAATATTGAGTTATTTTGAAAGATGAAGGTAACCTCTCTCTTTTGCACTCTCGGTACATACAATTATATCTGCTTTCCTATATGGATACTGCATTAATTTAAAATGGGAAATTTTACATCTTCACAATGAAAAACTTTTGTGTTAGAAATAACCTAACCCCTTTGTTTGAACCTGGATATAGTCACGAGCACGGGGTATAGCTTGAGATCTTCAACCTACGACGTCAATATAGCTGGCTCGAATGCACCAAACACAGAGCCATCACAATATCCATATGAGTTTACGTTTTGCTTACGTTTGACAATGGCAAATTTATTATGTCCTCTAATAAGCACCCATGAAAAGAGTTTTAACGTTTAAAAAATAATAATAATATTTACTGGTAATATTGGAAAACACAACCAATATTCCATAATTAACCTGGTATGTTTTGCTACGATAAGGCGAAAACAAAAACTCTAATTTAATGCACAGTAAGTCTCAACATTGGTCAGTTATTGCTCTGGGTATATAAAATGTGAATTCACCTAATTTTATCACATAAAAGATTAATAGGGTCACACTCCAAAAACATTTTTAGTGATATTGCAAATAACGTTGAACTATTATGTCTGAAGAAGTCTGACCTTGGTCAGACAAAACGTTACAGAAATATATTTGTGTTAGTGTGCAGCAAGACTCTTGAATCACTTAGGATTCATATTTGTTTGTCTGTCTTGATATCAACTTTTGCAATGTGTCATTGTTATATTTGCTTATCACCTACAATAATGCATATAATAACATAAAGGCCTTTTTCATCATAAATGATCTAGTATTTCTTTCCTAGATTTTTCTTGCAAGCGTCGAAAAGATTGGCACAATTGTTGATATTTAGATGAAGAATAGTATTCTTGATTTGATCAAATCTTTTGTTAGTTCGGAAATGCAAACTGCATTTATTTTTAATTGCATTTGACTTTAGTATTAAAACTATTCAGACACCCTTCTTATGAAACTTCGCAATTTCACAACTAGCTTAATTCAAAAATATTATCCTTGTTTTATGACTTCCAACTAGCTTTTTCATCAGAGTAGATGATGCAAAAATTTTGGACTGCAGAATTAAGATGAGATCAATCTTAAATAGTAGTGATCATGTTGTTCAACTTTCAAATATTTGCAATTTTCCCAATATCGATTTCATTTTTTGTTTCTCGGACATAAATAAATTTCTCAGCAGTCAGCACTATCCTGCATTTAAAATAAATTTAATCTAAAATATGGTAATTCATGGAATACTTATTTTTTTGTTGGCATATAAAAATATAATTTTAGAAAAAAACACATTGACGAACAGTCTAATTTTAAACTACCGTATATTATGAACAAACAAACAATGTTGTACTCTACAGTGGATTTAGCTTAAATATTTCCTTTATTAAAATATGAAAACTTTATATGTAAATTTACTATTTTATGTGTTTTTTTTAAGGCGTGGTTTTCAACAATGGTTCCACTAGTACATTTCAGGAGTTTCGCAATTATCTGTTCAACTCTAAGATTATATTTGTCATATATAATAGTTAAATATAATCGAATATCTATTAGGCTTGCAACTAATATTAAACTTTCTTCACTTTGAAAATCATTTTGTTTTGCCAGTATTAGGTTGTATTTACCTAATATATATTTTTGCATAAGACAACTAAACTCTTTCATAGGGGTTCCTCGAACCCCTGGAATGTTTTATAGGAGTTCCGTTCAACAAACAAAGGTTGAAAACCACTATTGTGGCAATTCAATTCATATTAGTTTTCGTATGGAAATCATCATCAAACAGAATATGTTTCAACAATCTTAAAAATGTTTCTAAAAGTGGGTGAGGTATAGGCCTACTCAATATCTAACATCTGTGTTTTTCTTTTTAAATTGCATTGCAAGGAGTACTACTTATTTTGTAGCAGAATTCTATTGAAAAGAGTAATATTTAGAAACTGCTGTTTTAAGAGGAGCGAGGAGCTTGATAACCTTGATAGTAATTTTGAATGTGCCGTTGAAACGGCTCCAAAATCATTTATTTCATACATTAGTACAAATGGAATACCTTTTTCTTCATTTCGAAAAAAATTTCCAAGTTTGATTCATGTCTACTTATCTAATAGTTACAGAATTAAACTGTGTACCGGCGTACATTTTTTATAGAATGCCACAAATCCCCAAAAATACTTGTTTGTAATAATTAATAATTAGAATGTTTGTAGTATATTATCAGAACACTCATATGTCCTATTATACGTATGGTTTTCTTACATGAATATTTCAGGGTCTACTATTTTATTTTATTACTGTAATACGCGTGCTCTGAAATATATAGCCTACCGGTATATATGCGAAATTTTGGCAGGAATTTCTGCAATAAAAAAAGAGTGTCCAATGCAGGCTTTTTCATGGGTTTCGGGGTTATTTAATTCAACTAATATAGACGAGTTCAAAATTTACAGGAACTAAAATTTGAAACCAAAGGGTTTAAAGGAAATTGGCAATTATTTTGTTTAAAATAAATTTACTAAGCGTTCTTTTTTTCTTGAAGAGAATTTGCTTATCCCTTACTTAGAAGAAAAAGAGATTTATATCTGATTAAAGTAATGAGCGAAAAATGAAACGCCAATGGTTACCAAAGCTGTATGGAATTATTGTTGTGAATTATACGTTATGGTTATTAATTATGGTTGTTACCACCGCTTGACTGATATGAGATATCAGAAGCAGTTTACGGTCATTAAATCCACATAACCCAGAAAGGTATATGGAAGTGATCATGCAAGAATAATAGTTTTTTGAGTAGCTTTTTGAGGGGGTAGAGATAACATACTATGCAGAGTAAGCGAACAATAAAAACTGTTTGTGCTATAAATAATAAATAGGCTAGGTTATTTTCAGTCAAATTTACCATAAATTTAATTTCTAACTAGGAAATTACAGCATAATTTTTATTATATCTCCGATGGCCTACAAAAACAAGATTTAGTGACCGGTAGAGATTATTGAATCTATATCTTAGATTATCTCATAATAAGTAGGAAAATTATTTCCGCTGAATGACATGTCATAATCATGAGAATGTATTATTTGTAGTATGTGTGTGCAGTAACACAATATAAGAACTGCACATGATTAGATTTTCTCTCTCAAAATACTTGAAAATGAAGGCTATCCCACCCACTGGACAGGTGCCTTTATTTCAAATTCAGATAAATCTCAGGAAAGATTAGAAAATTTAATTATGACAACGAACATATTTATCCCAGAGGAGTTGACTACATGCTTTACGATTGCAAAAATTTTGATGCTTATTTTAGAGACTGTTTTCGAAAGTCGGCGCTCACAAACTGGTTTACCATCCTTTTTATTGAGGAAAATTTATTGCGAATTTCTGAATGTTATGACCAAACTAAAGCTCATCGGAATCTATAATGATAATTATGTTATAAGATTTAAAACTATTTTTTGGAAACACAACTGAGAACTGACAAATAACATGCAAAACCACAAAGACAAGGCAATGTTCAAAACGATGCTTGCATTTTAGTCTGAGCGAAAGAAGTGTCTAAGTGGCTACAAAAATTGCGAATACTACGCCATCGTTCACTCATTGCTGATAGGTTTTTGTTATGGAAAAAAAATCAATGCTTGGGAAAACATCCATTACACAGTGGGATTGAAAGAAATTTATTCCCAGTGACAAAACGGGAAAATTTAAACCAACTTTTTCACTGACAATGTTAACACCATCATATTATGTATCATCAATTATGATAAGTTATTAACTGTAGAAAAAGTTGATCAAAGAAATTGACAATATCATCTCAATCATGTTGATTAATTTGAATTAAATTAGGATTCATTGGACTTATTGTATGAATTTGATTAGGATTTTGAAAGTTTTCACTACTTTTTTTTTGCTCGTTCAATACTTTCATTTTATGAGTCAACAGAGTACAATGGTGCAATGCGGTTGGATAATCTGGATAAAACGAATGACACAGTAAGCAATGATAACCTGAAATTGGATTGATAAATTCCAATCCTGCCGCCATTGCATTGTCCAAGCGCATTTCGGCTTGTAAATCTTGACCATGTTCTATGGATGGTACAGCAACCATAGAATTCGGTTCAGTCTCAAATTGGCGGATCGTGGGTTTTACTCTTTTTGTAGGAGTAATGGGTCTCGTTTTATCCAAAATTGCAGGGGATTTTACAGTGACTACTAAGTTTTGTTTATTATCCTCAGTTTTTCTTTTTAAAATGCCTCTTAAATTAATTTTCTTTCCTTTGGGTACATTCTCCCATACTGGTCCGATTCGTTTATCTTTATCCTCATCGAAAAAATCAGATGCCTTACGTCTCGTCGTAGATTTAGAAGTGTCATTATTATCCCAACTATCCAATGTAACAAATTCACCGTCATCATCATCTGGTGTTGGCATATCTTCATTTTCATATGTCTCCTTTTCATCATAAGGTAATGTTTCTGTATGAGATACTATTGGTTCTTGATCACCTTTCACACGCTGTTTAAGTATGGTACCGAAAGGTTGCGCAATTATATCAGAATCACGATGCTTAGAATCTGATTTTTCTACAGAGTTTGCCACTTTACCAGGTTTACGACTAGCTTGTTTTACAGCAGTAAATTGAACGGGTTCAATACTATCTGTAATATTTTTTTCAATTTTTACAGACGTCTTTACAGTGGAGTTAAAATCAGATACTTCAGGCTTGATTAAAGGCATCAAAGGCTTAGAAAGGGCTTCATTAGAGCATTGCTCAGATTTTGGTACTTTACTAATAGGCTCTGTATATAGTTCATTTGAATCAGTAGATTTATTAACAACACTCTCAGTCGATACACCAGGTTGGGATTTAGAATCATGTACCTCATCTTGCTTAGTTTGGGTGCATGTAGATTTTTTGTTAAGAACAATACAGTCACCTTCGAGAACTCTAGAAGCTTGGGATACTAGTGCTATTTCAGTATGATCAATATTCGATTCTTTCGTAGTTTCTTGATGGGAAACTGATCCATGTTCTAAATTTTTAGTAACGCTAATCATGTTGGCTGCGGATGACATTTTAATGCCAGTTGATATATCAGGATGAAATTTAGAATCTGGAATTTCATCTTGATTAGTTAGAGTACATGTAGATGTTTTGTTGACAACAATACATTTACCTTTGAAAACTGTGGAAGCTTGGGATATTTGTAGTATTTGAGTATGTTTAACACTTGATTCTTTTGTAGTTTCTTCATGGAAAACTGATTCATGTTTCAAATTTTTAGATTCGCTAATCATGCTGACTGCTGATGACATTTTAATGCCTTTCAATTTTTTAATGTGTTCCAAGTAGGCATTTGAATGTTCAATATCATTTCCACTGGATACAGAAATATTTTTACCAAGATCGTCTTTTTGAGGTACATTACTGTTCTTTAGTTCTTTTTGACATTTAACACTATTTTCATTCTTCCTTATTTCCAAATTTGGTTCATAAGTGTTAGTAGAAGTTCCAATAACCTTGGGCTCGGCTTTATCAGCAATAATCTTTTCTTCAACTTCTTTAGATTTTGTGATATCTTCAGATTGCACCTTAATATTTTTTGAACTTGATGATGCTAATTTTGGATTAATATATATTCTATTCTTTCCAAATAATGGTCGGATGGGCTTTTCATGAACTCTAAATCTGGTTCTTGGTACATACCTTTGTTCAAATCTTGGATTCGGTTTCCTTAGTTTGTGAAATGGTCTCACTGGCTTTCCGGTGGGTTGGTTTGCATTTGGTGCTCTATGTGATGCAACAAGTTGTGGCCCTATTCGCTGTCCTGGTGCATTTGGTTGTCTCGGAGGTGATGATCTTATCTGAGGTCCCATTCCTGTACAATTTGGCTCCTTCAAAGATTTAAGTTTCATTCTGACATTAGGCGTTGGGAAAGGTGGACATAGTTTCATTAGAGGCACTGGACTATTTGGTGTTTGAGAAAGGAGTGGTCTTATTCTGGCATTAGGGGGCCCATTTGGCAATCTAGGTGGTGGAGGCGGTCTGTTCCGAATATTTGTTGTCGAATTAGGAGACAGCAATGGTCTGATTGACGCCCTGTGTGACGGAGCGCGAGGTCTTGTATTGTGAGCTGGTACGCCAGGTCTAGAGGGCGTTAGTAATGGCCTTATAGGTACATTTTGTGAATGCGAAGGACGACGACCTCTAAAAGAAAGATTAGATCGTGGGTTCTGGTTTTGAGGTGTAGTATTTCTCAGACGAAATTGGGGCCCAAACTGGGGCTTTGGTTTATTAGACATTGCTGGAATAAATTCATACTTATTTTTCTTAGGTTTCTTGTATAATTCGTCAATTTTTTCATCTTTCAGAGTCAATGCTCTTTTTAGAGGCTGTTTAATGGCGTTTGTTGATTCTGCCTCTTTCGGTGATGAGGAAGCGCTCCCTTTCGTAACTGTCTTTACATTTTTACTGTTTCTCAATTTTTCTAAATGGTCTTTATACCACTTACTTTGATTATCATTGTTATCCTCCATTGGCATTTTGAAGTCATAAAAACGGCAATTGGTAATCCAGCAGCAACCACAACAAATTTAAATTCACAATAACATATATATATATCAATGGACTACGATTGTCTGACAGACTTAAAAATGTTATTGTCTCAGTATTCTGTATTTATACGCTGAAACAGTGAAAAAGAAAAAGATGTAGATAGCCTGGTTTAAAATAGAAAGCTGATGTAAAAAATAGGTATATTAGTTACGAGTTATGATATGTACGGTATTTTGTCAGTTTCTATGCAGGCAATACAGCTATATTAGTAACTAACTTGTAACTCTTCGCAAAATATTTCCAAATGGAACTAAAATAATATTCAACTAATACCTGAAAAAGTAGAAAGTACTAAAAGAGAATATAATTTGACAACAGTCAGACAGTACGGTACTGCAGTAGGACTGACAGAGTACAGTACCATATTAAATACTGCAATAGATCGGGCGAGCAGAGATACCGTACAGAAATAACAACAAATTAGCAGAACTTCAAACGAAAATTTTGAAGCAATTGCTCCTGTACGAAACCTAATCAAAGAGAAAAGCGATTTTTTCATAACAATATGAAGTACAGTAACGCAAAGTGATATGTCCCAAAAGATTCACTATCACCCTAAAATACAGTGTGACTCAGTGTACTGTAAAGTGCTTTATTGTGTACAGTGTTTTAATATTATTTTATATGTACAGTAACACATAATTTCATTTCAATCTTCTTTTCCAACATGTATCCTTTCAGTAACACAACATTATGGCACTTGTGCCATGCCTTGACCTTTGCACCCCTCCACCTGTACATGGCAATGAGCTTCCTGTCTGCCGGTACTCTGGTACTAGACTAGCCTTGTGCACTGAACAATCTGCTTTAACTATTAACCTGTAAATTACAGATAAAACAGTAGTTTACTGCAGTTAGGATTATATTCTTTGTTACTGATAATAAAAGCTCAGTTCTACATCTGTTGGTCTGTTCTTAGTCAAGCCAGGCTATCTGTCAGGAAGCAATCAAGCAAGCACAGCCCTGAACTTATTAATGGCGACGAGGTGAAACGGAGGAACAGACACTATAGTAACCCATCTCAGACATCACAACATATAATCCTGACTGTAGTTTTGAATTGGAACAATGGCTACTGAACAATTTGAATCACCATCCAGGTCAATCGGAAAGTTTGACCCAGAGATGCACACCACGAATGTGCATGACGCATTCTGTGACTTTGTCAACCAGTTTCATTATGAATATGAGGCTATTGCGAGGGATCCCCCTCAAGGCACGGAGGACACAAATGCATGGGTCCAGATCAACAAAAGAAAAATATTTCTTGGCCGATTCGCATCTCGCAACTTTCAAAAAGACTTTGAAGACACTGTCGCAGAGACTGATCGCTCGCTTCTCACATTCGCAAACCTCATTGCAAGAATGAAGGCCAGATATGAGCCCACTCGCAACTATACCTTGGCCAATCATGAGTTTCATCGCTTAAATCAAGATCAGGACGAGAGCTTCAATAACTTTGTCCATCGTTTGCAGCATGAAGCTCGATCTTGCAAATTCAGCTGCAGCAATGAAGGTTGCGACATCCCAGATATCATGGTACGCGACCAAATTATAGTTGGAACGAGACATGATGACATTAGAAGGAATGCTCTAAAAAATCAGTGGGGGCTTAAGGACCTGATAGAAAATGGGCGCAAGATAGAGGCTGCATCCCACACAGCACAACGCCTCCTGGAAAACTCGACAACCGAGGAAGACTGCACCAGCATATCCAGGATGAGACCAGGGAAATACTCTCGTAAAACAAAGAAATCCAAAGCTGATTCAGGACCAAAACATCCTCTTTCCCAGTGCACCACATGTTCTTCGAAGACATGTCAGGGTGGAAAAACATGTCAGGCACGCCATTCAAACTGCTTCGCTTGTGGTAGAAAAGGCCACTTCAAAGGGTCAAGAATATGTAGAGGTAAACCAGCAGCAAGAGCACACAGGGTAAAGCCAAGAACTAGATCCTCAGAGCCACATTCGGAAACTGACAGCTCCTCTGAGAATGAAACAGAGGAAGAAAGCAGTAGTCCGCCCAGCTCCAAAGAAGGAGTGCGCAGAATGAGACGCATACATAGAGTCCAATGTAAGAAGGGAGTATCAAAGAACAGCCGTTCGAAGAAGCCTGCCTTCACCCCAGCCAATTCGCACGAAACAGGATCTACTATTCGCAACATAGCAAAACCTCGATACAGAGTGGAGATAATTGTAGCCGAGAGACGCATCAAAGGTTTCGCGGACACAGGAGCAGACATCAATGTGATGTCAGAGACTTCTGCATCCAAACTGAAACTGCCTCTGTGCAAAACAAAGATAAAGCTCAGACCGTATGGCTCCAAGCCAATCAGATGTGCTGGATATTATGAAGGTAGTATCATGTCAAAAACGCAGTGACCACAGCTCGATTTTACATAGTCCCAGGTGATTCAGAAACACTACTCAGTGGCCAGCTTGTGAAGAACTTGGAATCATCAAATTCAACAACTGCACAAAGGAATGTTCAGGCAAATTACGAGCTGTAAGAAAGCTCCATTCATCTGAATCAGACATTTTTGCAAAATACCCAGAGGTCTTCATGGGTGTGGGAACACTGATCGAATCATGAGTGCATTTCTATATGAACAATAAAATACCTCCTGTTGCTCAGGCAGCGCGTCCAATTCCATTTCATCTCGGGAGAGATTCCAACAGGCTATTGTACAGAATGGAAGAACAAGGAATCATCGAAGAGCACAGCGGTCCAGCACCTTGGGTCTCAAAACCCGGTGCTCACACCAAAAGACAATGGTAATATCAGAGTAACCATAGATCTTAGAGCTGTAAACAAAGCAATCAAGCGACAACATCCCAATTCCGCGGGTGGAAGACATCAAAGCCAAGCTGTCTGGGTGTGCAGTTTTTCAGCAACTAGACTTCAAATCAGCCTTCACCAACTTCTCCTAGATGAGAGTTCACGCATTGCAACAGTATTCCCATGCTGGACAGCGTCTGATGCGATACAGAAAACTAACAATGGGAGCTAAACCGGCATCAAGGCGAATTAAAACTAAAGCGCTGATCCCAGTCTTCGCTAACATCAAGGTGTACATATCATTCATGACGATGTTAATAGTGGCAGGCAAAGATAAAATAGAGCACGACAAATCCTTGCACGAAGCGCTCAATAAAATACATCAAGTTGGCATGACACTCAACCCAGACAAATGCATTTTTCGCAAAATCAGAAAATCCGTTCTGGGGCATGATCGTTACAAAAAATGGGGTTCGGCCAGACCCAGTCAAAGTGGAGTCACTTAAAAAAGCAACAAAACCTCAGTCAAAAAGATGAAGTCATGTCCTTCTTGTGCTTTGTACAATCATTTGGTGACTTCATTCCACACTTGTCAAGCAAGACCACACATCTGCGCAGCCTAACAAAGAAACACAAAGAATTTAGGTGGTCATCACAATGCAACAAAGAATTCAAAGCTCTAAAACAATCTTTGCAAGCAGACACAGAGCTAAGATATTTTGACATAAATTCCTTAACCTTCGTGTTCGTGGATGCCCATACATCTGGCATCTCAGCTATCCTCGCCCAAGGAAAAAGCATCCAGGAATCCAAAGCAGTAGCGTTTGCAAGCCGTGCAACTAAGCCGGAAGAACAACGCTACCCTCAACTCGATCTCGAAGCACTAGCTGTTGATTTTGCTTTGCGACGATTCCGCAACTATATCGCTGGAGGCCCACCAGTGAAAATCATCACAGACCATAAGCCACTGGTCAGCATTTTTAGCAATTCGCGCAAAGGCTCAATCAGAACCGACAGAATCAAAATGAGACATCAAGACATACTGTACGAAGTTCAATGGGAGCCAGGCAAGCACAATCCAGCAGATTATCTCTCACGACACTCAACTCCCTTCCATGAAACACCCGAAGAGTGGCAGAAAGAGGCTGGAGAGCTTGAAAGGACTGTATACTGGCTTCAGTACGGGCCTTACATCGAAGCAATATCTATGTCAACCATCGCGCAAGAGACGAGCAAAGATAGAGTTTTGCGGAAGCTAAAAAAATACATTGTCAAAGGACAGATTCCTGAGCACAAATCGAGCTTTAACGAGTACCGGAAATTCCAGGATCAGCTAACACTCGTTGATGGACTCATTATGAAGCAAGACAAGATAGTGTTGCCAGAGACACTCTGGGAAAAAGCCATTGAAAAAGCACATCAAGGAGGCCACCCAGGGATTAATATTCTCAAGCGACGAATTCGCAGCCATTTCTGGATTCCAGGCTTAAACAAGCTTGCAGAAAACAAGGTAAAAAATTGTGAAATGTGCCAACAATTCACTAATAAGACAACCAAACAGCCACTGAAGTCAATCATTCCATCCAGATCAGCATGGGAAGAAGTCAGCATAGACCTTTTTGGTCCTATGCCAGATCACAAACATGTGGTGGTAATACAAGACATGAAGACGCGATTCCCAAATGCAAAAATTGTGAATTCCACAGCAGCACGTCATGTCATACCAGCTATAGAGGAAACATACACCTACTATGGGCAACCTAACACACATAGAACGGACAATGGACCACCATTCAACTCCAGAGAGTTCAAGGAATTTTCAGATAGACGTGGCATTACTCATCAGACATCCTACCCTTATCACCCTCAAGCTAACCCGGTGGAAACACTGATGAAACCTCTCGGTAAAGCAATGAAAATCGCACATGCTGAGGGCAGGGACAAGACCAAAGCCCTAAACAACTTTCTGACAGGATTTCGATCTACCCCTCACATTGCCACGGGGCAATCACCAGGAAACCTTATGTTCAGAGGTGGCTACCAACAAGATTTTCCCCGCAAAGTACTCACTCCACAAGAAGTTCAAGATGCGGAATCTCTGGACATACAGCAGAAATTGGAGCGTCAAAGTTCCATCAACAGCTCTATCAAAAGAGCACCTTCACAGTTCAGATATGGCGATATGGTACTGATGCGAAACAATAACGCTAAGAAATTCGACCCAATCTTCGGTCCAGATGTTCTCAAAGTCATCAACATTGGCTGTAATGGACTGGCACTAGAGCGTCAGTCTGATGGCAAAAGATTTCGAAGACATTTCGACGATGTGAAGCCATATTTCTCCGCACCACAACGTTCACGACTTTCTGCCCAAAACCAGACACAACCTCCTAGCTGGTGGCAATGGGATGATATGGCTCAGACTGACAGCAATCCCATTTCATTGGATACCCAATACCCAGAATACCAGGTGGATCACAGGCCACAGTCACACCCTGCGGTGCCACGAGCACTGAGTCGCTTAGCTGACTTCAACAATCCAGGGTACACAGAAATGTATGACTATTGAAACGAGTATAAAAGAGGGGAGTAGTGATATGTCCCAAAAGATTCACTATCACCCTAAAATACAGTGTGACTCAGTGTACTGTAAAGTGCTTTATTGTGTACAGTGTTTTAATATTATTTTATATGTACAGTAACACATAATTTCATTTCAATCTTTTTCCAACATGTATCCT